AGACCTTGCACAACCGTACGAGGTCTAGGAGTTCTATCGTGCCAAAAGCCTGCCGCAAGACTGGGGTCCTCGTCAAGCTATCATTCAAGTTTAGGGTTTGGGTGTTGTCGCCAGTTGGGCAGATGATTTGAAGCATACAGTCTAGTGAAGAGAAGAGGGCCTATGGACAAGGGATTCAGAACCACAGGCGTGCTTTCGGTCCCGGGTTGGGGCCTAAAGGTTAGGGTATCATGTCGTAGCTTCTAGTGGCTGAGCATGAATCCTTCAGCTGATTGGAGAGTCTCGAAGTATTCCTGAAAGCCGAAACCCATGCAACATACGGCGTAACCCCCAGCTCCAGGGTCATTCCCTACCCGTGTTTCAAGGTACCTGACTTATTAGAGAACAGATCCCAAGCATAGTATACCTTAGACAGCGGTTGGGTATGACCCTCTAACTAGAGCCTAAGCCCTCCAAACCACCAAAGCCGTAGCGCCCTAACACCCTATGTATGCGCTAAAAACCCCAAGCCCTAATCCACAGACGGGTTTGCGGTTGAGAGTCTCAAAATGAGCAGGCTCTTGTAAGGCAGGCGGGATTTTACAAGACCGCAGAAGGGTCTCGGGTTCGTGGACGCTGCAGGGTTTGTGCAGTTCGATAGAGGGTTTGGCGTAGTGGTTTCTACCGAAGAGAGCTTACCGGTGTAGGAGTTAATGCAAGTGGTCACTGCGAACGATCCCCGAACCTGAATCCTCAGCCCTGCACCCTAAACCTCTAACCTAAACCCTGCACCCTAAACCCTAAGCCTTAAACCCTAAATCCGAAACCCTGCACCCTAAACCCCACTGAGCCCTGAACCCGAAAACCGGAAGCCCAAGCCCAGCAGCCTGAACCCTAACCCTCGAAATTAATAGTATGCGAGTTTCCGCAAATTAGTGGTGCCTTATTTGGGGCTCCTTTTTATAAGGATCCTATATACTATTTAAAGTACCTCATTAGGGTCCCTATTGTCGGAAACTCCCATAGAGGGTTCTGGTGTATATGATTGTATAGCTTTGATACGGATCTCTGCAGCAATGTCATTAGGTTTTTAAGCTTCTACAATAGCCATCAAACCCCTCCCGAAAGCCGCAATACATCCAAGTTGACAGGCAATTAGATCATGCCTGAAAGCAAAAGCTTGGCTTTCTTCTGGTTGGCTCCTAGTGGGTTTCTGTAGGAACTATTGTAACAAGGAGGCCAAAAGTTTAACTTTTAGGAGGGATGCAGAAGTCAGCCAAGCCATCGTCAGTCTGACTCAAGACTCCGTCATCCCTTCCCAGGGTCCCAGACCCTACACCCTAAACCTTCATCGCAATAGGGTGTAGAGTCCGTACAGCCAAACCCGAAATCGTAATCCCAATTCCAAAATTTGAGCTCCGGGCCGTTTACTTACGGCTACTTTGCCATTGTTTTACTTCTCGTGGCGTCACAGGACAAGAACTAGGGTCACCAATAGCAGTTGCATGCATATAGTAAACGTGCATTCATGCACATATATTGTACAGACACATAGACACATATGTGTTAACGTATACATATATATATATATGTATGTATGTTATATATATATATATATATGTGTATATATATATGGGTATATATGTATAGTGTAGCACTTAGTGTATATATGATATATACATTTACATCGAGAGAGAGAGAGAGAGAGAGAGAGAGAGAGAGTTTGTCGTTCGCAGACTGCTTGGCCGCCTTCAATTCTCCCTGGCTCAGAGGTGGAATTCACCACTCAGATTGCGTAGGTCGCTCATTCAGGACCCAGTTCTTTGAATTCGCAGAGATACTAAGAGAATCACGGCGCGAGGATAAGGCTTCAAGAAGAGCAATGAAGACAACCACGGACGGCAAGAATGATTTTTGGGACAACGCACTTACATGAACTCGAGGAATGAAGCTTTGTCTTCAGCCGCTCGCGGTAAGAAGGACAGACGCACCCCTAAACCCTTCACCGCCGCTGTTGGCCAGAGGCCAAAAGCTTTCCGAGCATCAGCATCTAAGCTGCAAGGAAGAGAACAACCTTGTGAAGCCTCTTGGCTGTCTCACGGCCTGCGCTCCGAGAATGGCTGCACAGCAACTGGACTCGTCCGTCGTGCCTTGATAGCAAGCTCCGCAACCCTAAGTCCTTAGAACCTCAACCTTAACACCCAAAACACGCGGCCTTAAAGCCCTGAATGATAATTAACACCCTAAAACCTTAAAACCCAAAACACGCGACCTTAAAGCCCTGAATGGTAATTAACACCCTAAACCCTAAATCGCAGCACCCTAAACCCTAAGCCTCAAAGTCCTAAACCCTAATTAGGTTCTAAGTAACAAGACCCTGCACCGTAAGCCATAGGTTTCGGACCCATCGTCTGTCAGACAAGGGTCCCTCATCCCCAAACCTTCCAAAATCCTTTAATTAAGGAATATACCTTAAACTATAGTAAGGTCCCTAATATGATTTAAGGTATATTCCTTAATTAAGGCTTGCGCGCCTAACAAAAACTACCGCTCGAAATGTTGACGACGAGGAAGACAACGATGATGATGAAAATTACGATGGTCACGATGATATCGATGGCGATGGCGATGATGACAACGATGATGATGACGATGATGATAACAATCGTGGTAGCAATGATGATGACCTAGCGATCTGGCAAAGGTGACTGTGCAAAGACCTTTTGCCCCATACCTTTTCCACCCACAAACCTCAACAAACTTGCCGCGACCTTCAAAGTCATCGGCCCCACCAGTGTTTTCACCTTCTGCCGTAAGACTAGCTTTGCAGCCCAGGTCCGGAGAATAAACTCAGGCCGGCTTTTCCCAGCACACAAAAAGCCCACTGCTCAACACATTGATGACGATGATGATAACGATGATGATGAGAATGATGAAGATGATGGTGATATCGATGGTGGCTGTGAGGATGATAGCGATGTTGACATCGATGATGATAGCACTGATGGTCGCCTAGGGCGCCCAGAAAACTGGACACGAAATCGTGTTCCGTTTTTGCTTCTGCCACAATACCGCTGGGGAAGGTCAAAACGTGCGATTTTGCTGCGCCTGCCACACTTTTGTACACTTCCCTCGGCCGCTCCTCTGTAGGTTTTGTCTTCAGGGTAGTTTTTTTTAGGCGCGCGCGCCTTAATTAAGGGATTTTGGAAAGTCTGGGTCTTACAGGGTCCCAATACTTGGAAATACAATTTGCGGTGGCATGTTTTACTTGTGCAAGGTCTATCCGGAGGTGGGCGGGGGGGGGTTCCGACCTCGATATCATTGCGAAAGCTCTTGGAGTCATCTTGGTGCTGGACCTAACCCCCTGAACCCCAAACCCGTATCCCGCAGAAGAGTTTGAAGCAGAGGGTTTTGTATACGGCTCTTGGGCAAAACGGACACCCTAGACTCCTTCAGGACAATCCCTACCCGTTCCAATTACAGAGAACAGCAACACCCTCCTTTTCATACTCCTCGAACAACCAGTGCCCTAAGCAATAGAAGCCCTACAGACTTTAATGTAAACCCTATCGCCCTCCGCAGCTCAAACAAAAGCAAAATAAGAAATGTAGAAGCCTGAATCATTACCATGACTATCCTGAGAGGGTTCCTCATTGTAAGTATAGTGCAAGAAACCCCCCCAACCCTGTTCTGAGTGGTGAGGCTCCTATCATCAACTCTTACGGTAGCTCTTATTTTGAGGGTCCTGACGACCCAGTAATCAGGCACATTATTAGGTACTTGGGCCCTTAGGGTTATAGACCGCAATAGGAACCCTCGAACGGAACCTTGCTCTAATCGTTAAGGCCCCTATGTTGGAGCCCTCAGGATAGGCAGCTCAGCGATGCGCCGGTGACCATGCCTGCCAGATTCCTGCTCCGAAAAAGCAGCAGCCAAAACTTGCGACTCGACCTGACTCTCTCGAGGGTTTAAGATTGAGCGGCTTAGCAGAGATATGTTTCCTCTTTGCAGTTTCGAGGCCGTCTCTTGGATGTCATATTTCTGTCCTGAGGGCTACTTTGGCTTTTGCATGGGCTCTGGGGAAAGAGCTGAATTGAAGCTGCCAGAGTCAAGGACACATAGTAGGTGGTGTGTTTCCGGCTTAGCGTGTATATGAGGTTTGAATCCTAGCCCACAGCCTTGCTACCATTATTCAAAGGGGACAAGGAGGGACCCTTAAGGCTTAATGGGGACCCCTGCCCTATAATGGGGCTATATAATGGGTAAAAAAAATCGCTATATTAAGGGTATATACCGGGGTCCTTATTAAGGGTCCCTCCTTTTCCCCTTTGAATTATGGATTCAGTCCCGCAACTGAAATGTGCAGTTCGGATGCCAAGAATCATGCCCGGAAACACATTCGTACTTGAACCACCCGTGCGGCGTGCTCGATGTAAGAGTCTGTATCCTCCATGTAGCCGTGCGAAACACGCACGTGCTGAAACGCGCCTGTGTGGTCAGTCTTGCTTGAAATATTCAGAAACCTAGTAATTAGACCCTAAACCACTCTGGATCCCCAAAAGCAGCCTTTAAGGATCCCTTATAGTAAGGAAACCGTATTATCTAAATGCTTTGGTCACTGTCGATGCTTTCGAGTTGAATTTCGGAGTTGGAGCCGTACCCAAGGGGTTTAGGTACCTATATAGTCGAATGTAGGGCTTCTATAGTCGGAAGTACTCTTAGGGTTTGGGCAAGTCTACGCCCCATATCGGTACTTAGGCTTTTTTGGGAAAGGGTACCGACAGGGCAGTATAGGGTACGGTGCCGAAAGCATACTTAAAGCTGTCATACATACTTTTTTAAGGTTCTTATTATACAAACCCTTGCATGAAATTTTGTAGGGGCCCTATATAAAAGTAGGGGTTTGTTTTTTTAGCTATTAAGGGTAACCCAAGTCCCATCCTAGGAGTCAGGGCCAACACTCTGGCGAGTCCAAACCGATGAGCGACTCCCGCGACCGCGAGAGTTTAGCGTCGGCTACCATGGCAGCCGTCAAGCAGCTGAGCCTTGGCTTGACATGGCGTTTCTAGAGTGTTTTTGGACTTGCAGGGTTTTGAGCAACTGAGCCTTTGGCCACTATTATGTGTATAAATCAGATATACTCGTCTATTACGCGTGTAAGTGTGTACATACATATACATACATATACATACATATATATATATATGTATATATATATATATGTGTGTGTGTGTATGTGGTCTAGGCTCACACTCTTGCAGCTACTGAGCCATGGAAGTTTATGGGGGTCGTTTCTCGAAGAGAGCCGGGTCCGACGGGCTTGTGTGAAGCTGCGCAGCAAGGATTGTAGACTCGTGCCGAGAAAGTTATGCTCCGTGCGAGTGCACCGAAAGTCACAGAAGCAATCCGCTTCGGCAGCACAGCAGAGGCAGCAACAGAATCCAGATATACACACAGACACAAATACGTGCGTCGATAGGGTCAAAGCATGGTCGGTTTTTAGGCTTAGGGTTTTGGGCAGAGGGTTGTGGGTTTTGCTGCATTCCTTGTTCATTCTCTACCTCTCTCTCCCTCTCTCGCTTTCTCTGTGCCTCTCACGCTGTCTCAGCATCGGTCGAGCTTTTTCAGTCACGGGCAACGAGCGAGACATCGCAAGCTCCACCGCCGGAACCACTATCATGGTAAGTCCCAGTCCAAATCCTAAGCACTAGGCCCTGAACCTGAACCGCAAGTCCCAAATCCCATACTCTCCACGGCCTCGGAGAACCTGAAGCAGAGACATATACGGGTTGCAGCGAGCAGGGCTTCCTCAGGATTGATGCAGGCCGTTGGATTCTACAGGGTTTAGGGGTTTACGGGGGTCACGAACATAAAGATGCTGATATGTCCTCACCTACCGACATGCCAGCAAGCATTTCAGAGAGGCGAGGAAGCTCTCATGCAGAGTTGCAAAACGCCGAACCCCACCCCCTCCCACACACGAAGAATGCGAGCCACCTCGCTCTCAAAACTAGGTTTGCCAAAGACCCGGAACCCTAAATCGCCATTGTCCTGAAGTCTAAACCCCCTAATCCCGACAAGCCCCGACCCGCAACCCGAAACTTTCAGGAGTGTGGGGAACCAGTCTGTCGAGTCCAAAAACCCCGTGGATTTGTACCGGTCTCTTTCCAAGAACCAGGCCGAACATAAGGTTCTTAGGGCTTAGGGCTCCCAGCCCTAGAATTCAGAATCTAGTTCCGGGTGTAGGACTACGAGAGTTTGGGTCCTGGGGCTTGCAGCATTTAGAGTTTAGCTCTTGCCGCTTCCACGTGTGAGGGTTGTTTTTGTTGGCTCATGTTTCAAATGGAGCTGAGTGATGGTCAAAAATGGTGGTATGCAGGGTTTGCGGGCTTGGGGCCATTAGACGCAATCTAGAGTTTGCTGATAGGGTCTTTGGGCTTGGATCTACAGGACCTAAGCCATAGACATATGATTCATAAGTAGTTAGTAACAGGATGGTACAAGTAGTGCCGGGATTCTGGGAAGTGGGTGTGTTGGGGATTGCCAGGCCGGGAGGTGCAACGCTTCGGTTCAGGCATTGCAAGGTTTATAGGGCGGGCAATTGAGGCTTGGGATGTATCCTCGACACCCCAAACTAAACCCCCGAACCCCTAGAAGCTAAACCCGAAACTTCCCTAGCCCATACTATGGAGGTCTTAGTAATTACCTATACATTTTTTTTGTTTGGAGGGGCTCCATAAATTATCATGGTAGTGTAATGGGCCCCCAAACCCTATTCTAATTATTGAGGCCCCTATATAATCGTACCCTTGTCCATCGATCCCTTATAGTAACCCTTATATAGACCCCCTTTTATAAGGGAGCCCTATTCTAGTTATTGAGGCCCTTATATTGGAGATCTAACCCTACAAAACCCCTAAACCACTAAACCCTAAACCCTAAATCACTAAACCCTAAACCCCCTTAGATTGGAGGGTTCTGGGCTTGGCATTGAGAGTCGGGGCGCCGATCTGTGGCACTGCCTACGACGCCCGAGCCTTAACAGCTTCAATCCTTAGCCTGAGAAGCCCTGAGCATCTGAATCCAAGTGAAGAGGCTCCATCCACATTCATATATATATATATATATGTACATATATATATACATACAATATATCTATACATATACATATATATATATATATATACATATGAGAGTTATTGGGTCCGCAAAACCATGATTAAGGATGGTGGCGTTTCGATAAAGGTTGTGTAGATGGAGCCTCGGCAAAGCCTACTTCTTGACCCTAAACCCGAAACCTGGCCGACTGAGCCCCAAACCTTAGGGGGACTTAGAAAAAAGTTTTAAATTTTGGTTAGTATAATCCCCAAGAAACAGCTAAAATTGCATGTTTTGCTAGGGTTCTAAGTTCAGTATAGAAACTCTAAACTCCCTAAAGCCCTGAAGCCCCAACCCAAAGCCCAAAAGCCACGAAAGCTGTACAGCTCTACAGTCCTAAACCCCTAAACCGCTCACCCCTAAACCCGTAAACCCTAAACCCCCAACCCTTAAATCCCTGAACCCTAAACCCCGAAGCTTTGATGTACAGGTCATGGAACGCAAAAGACATGCAACGGCCTCGATGGATATGAGGTGGGCCATGCTTTTCAATTTAGGGTTCAAAGTTTAGGGTTTTGGGGTCTGGGTTTTGTGTTTCTGTTAACCATGAGCAATTTAAATGACTTTTCTGCAAAGTTGCCCAAATGTCGTTTTCCAAAGATGTCCTGGAGGCCTTACCTACTGTTTTCAAGGGTTTCGGGATACAGGTCCGTTCCATACGTGATGGTGTGCTGTTCTGCACATATCCTCAGCCCTAAACCCCTAAACCAGGACGATTGCGAAGTTCTTGTGCCAGATGAAGGTCACGAAGCCAGAGGCGCAAGTCGTACCCAGGGGGTCCTAAGTACCTCCAAGGGTTCCTTCATGGGGGATACTTGGCAAACCATACTAGTAATTCTATGATAGAAGCCCTACATTCTACTAAATAGGCATTAGCACGCACCCTTTGGGATAGGATTTTCGGGGGGCTAAGGCTTCGGGCATATGAAAAATGTTAAAGGGGTTTAGGGTTGCCCCATAGTTTTGTCGCGTCGTTTTAGGGTTCTATAAAGGTTGAGTGGCTATCTTGATCGTCTTAGACATTCTCTTTCATACATTTGTCGCATGGAGATGCTCCCCACATATCCTTTACTTTTTTATTGTGGCGCTGCTTTATTCCGCTTCTCGCTTAGTTGGAGTTGATGGCTTGGCGGTTTGGGGGCTGAGGATCCTCGGGTATGAGGGTGTGTCATAGGGTTAGGGCTAGGGTCTGCAGTCGTGGCGTACAGGTACATTACGTACTTCATTATGTACTTGCAGGTGTGCAGGCCGTCACCGGCAGTTCGAGTATATTCTCCAGACATAAACTGTCAATCTCTGAGATGATAAACCCAAAAACTCCAAGTAACTATACCATCATAGTAGGTGCTTAAGCAGGTATTTGGGCCCCAAAAGTATAGACTATAGTATTACTTGGACCCTTTGCGAAGGATGCCTCGGCTACAGTGTCGAGACCTGGTGGGTATTCGGGGCTTGGTAGTAAAAATGTACCCGCTCTTTTCACGTCTGAATATTTGACCGCGTATAGCTCGCGTGAAGTCAGATTCTAACATATTAACCCGGCGCCCAACGAAGTCCCTCAACGACAGTCCCTAATCAGAAACCCATGATCCTTTTTCTTCGTCCTTGGACCCTAGACCCTGATGCCTCATTACTGGACGGAGTACACCGAGCTGTTGGTGTCTTCGCAAGTCCTCGGAAAAAGCCTTGTGTACAGGACTTCCTGAAGGAAGGAGCCTAGGGTTTTCTGGTCTTACTTGGAGGGTCGGGGGACGTAGTAACTGGTTATTTCCGAGACTTATAAGTATCATTACCCCAATTACTGTAGGGTCCCATTTAGGGTACTTTTATGTCTACCTACTACCTACTTACTAAGTCCCTGAACCCTAAACCCTATAGTACCCCTATAGAGCCCTTTAAAGGAACCCTTATAATCCCCTTTGAAGGAGCCCTGACTAAGTCCCCCGACCCTCCAAGTAGGGCCCAAGCCCTGAGCCCTGAAACCCTGGGCAAGTCGTTGAGCCCTGAACCACACAACCGTATCTTCATACTACGGTTCATGATATAAATCCTGCATGACCCATAATAAGGAAAATACCATAATTCCCATATTCTAGGATCCTTAAGGTAATGCAGGATTTATATCATCCACCGTATGATTGACTGCACACCGAAGAGCAGCTTCGTTGTTGAATCGCTTCAAACACTACAGAATGAGTGCTCCATAAACCCTAAACCCTAAACCCACCGTGAGGATGCAGCGCACCTGAAACCCCATAACTGAAGAACATGCACTCCTGAACTCCAGACTGAACCTCAACCCGACTCAACCCTATGCGGGCGGTTGTCAAAATTATGGTCCCTTTTTGGGTACCCTAAATATTAGGTGCCGTGCTAAAAAAAAAAAAAGGGACCAAAGGGACCATCATTTTGACAGGAAGCCCCATAAAGTTGGAAACCGGATCAAGGCCAACTCTTAAGGATTGAAGCTATTGGGTTTCCAACTTTTGGGCTTCTACTACAGGCCCTAAACCCTGAAGCCTAAACTCTAATTAATCGATCTCCTTCCCCGGCTTGTGTGCGGAGGTGCTGCGTGCGACACCAGAATACAGAGTCCGATACTCAAAGAGTCATAGATGGGCCTTAAAAGCCTTAATAAGTCTTAATAGTTAGAACAGGGTTTGAGGTATATTCTGCCGAAATTGTTATGTTAGAAGGGGCCTCATTAGCCTTGGAAGTTTTAGCAGGATTTTGGGACCAATTCTGCTCTACTTGTACTGGTTTGCATGGAACCCTTAAGGAATAACATGGTAGTTATTCAGGATTGCACCGTAATTGATTCTTTAGTTTGGAGATTCCAGGAGGGGGTGAGGCCATTGTTTGATTTGTGGCCGAAGTGCACGGTTTAGGGGTTGCGAATTCAGCTGCAGCGTTTTGGGTTTAGGCTTTAGCTCAGCTGGGGCCTCAAGCCGTCATTGGTGCAGGACCTCAGTTGTGCAAAGGGGTCTTGGAATCTTGGAAGGCATTGTGCAAAGGCAGTCCTGCCGAGTTCATTGCGTAGGGTTTTGTCGCCCAGGAAACCCTAAACCCTCCACCCAAAACCTACTGTTCTCCCAGGCACCACAAAGAGCGAGCTCTATCCCCTCAAGTTCCAAAGCCCAAAACCCCCAAAACCCCCAAACCCTGTGCTAGACCCTGAAGCCCCAAACGGCCCCAAACTCGAAATCCAGAATGTGGGAGTTTCGGAAAATGGGGGACCCTAATACGGTACCCTAAACAGTAGGATCCATACTACAAGGACCCCAAAATAGGGTACCCCTAATTTTCGGAAACTCTAAACCCCAAACCCTTTATAGAATCCTTTTTGATTCCTTTAAGGAGCCCTTCCAGGATCCCTTTAAAGGCTCCCGTTATTGCTGGAAACTCCCGTGTAGGGATCTGGACTCCTACGGTTGAAGATATAAATCCTGCATGACCCAGAATGAGGAGTATACCACAATTCCCGTAGTTTAGGGTCATTAAGGTCATGCAGGATTTATATCATCACCCTAAACCCTAAAACCCTATAGATGCCTTAAAGGAACCCCTTAAAGGTACCCTTATAGATCCCTTTAAAGGAACCCCTGCAGAATTTACCCTAAACTCCTAAACACTAAACCCTAAACCGTAGTGTTTCCGGCGCTCCGAGGCTCTGCAAGGATGCGGCCGGTCCCTTCGAGGGAATCCCGACCCTATGAGGCCTCCACCAGGGTCCCTTGAGGGTTGCTTTAAGGGTTAAGGGTTTTAGGGATTACAGTTTAGGTTATAGGGTTTAGGGTTTAGTTAGGGTTCTATGAGGCCTCCACCGGGGTCCCTTGAGGGTTGCTTTAAGGGTTTAGGTTACTAGGAGCCCGAACCTGCTGAATTAACTGTAGTTTACAGTCCCTAACTTACATAAAGCCTAATCCCGAGAGCGTACTATGCTGTCTCAAACTCCCGCCAAAATACAACCCCTGAGTGCCTTAAGCCATCTTAGGCCTAACCCCATACGCCTCATAGTCTAGATACCAAAACTTCATATGTAAAGCCGAAGCACACATAACTAATGCGATAGAGGTCGGGATAGTCAGTGATAGCAACACTATACCCTTACAGTTCTTGTTGAAGCAGTGGAGCCCCGCCGAAGAAACCGATTGCGACTTGTTCCCATAAACCCTAAGCCGTCAACTCCTCAAAACCCTAAACCCCTAAACCCTCATAAACCCTAAACCCCTTATAAACCCTACCACGGCCGCATCGCCACAGGCTCTTCAAACTTAGCCAGGAGGTCGATGTGATCGATGAATTCTGGCCGCCGAGCTGGGAAGTCATGCTCATCAACAGGGTACCTACAGGGTTTAGGCTTTAGGGGTTGAGGGTAGCTAGAGAATCCTATAAGTTAATCCCAAGAAAAGAACTACTATGGAGCCTATGGGTAGTTCTCTAAGTTGCGATGCCTGCTAGGCTGCTTTCTTGTTTACAAAGGTGCGGTGCCATTTTGAGGAACAAAAAAAGGTAGCGACCATCAAGCGACCATCATCATCCTAAACATGGCATGTGAGTTTTCGTTTAGTTATCATCAGTATACTCTACAGCACAAGGTTTGGACATTGAAATAATCATGGCTGTTCGAGGTTGGGGATAAAGGCTTCCGGGATGTTGTGTTTAACGTGTCGTAGTCGCATGCAGACACGCATCAAGATTTCGTGCAGCAGCGCGACTAAGACTAAGATCAACCGAGTCGAACAAGTTCACGGATCCTAGGTTATCAGGCTTGGTTGTACATCTTTAGAACGTGCTGCATTCGTGCAGGGAGTTCTGCCGTGTATATACACCCAATGCCGAGTGTGTGTTGATTGCCACATTCTCGCTGTTGCTGCTCCTAACCCCAAACAACAAAAGCCCGTTACCCGTTGACCCGAGAATGAGATAGGCTCTGACCTTGCTGCAGATGCGAGACCCCATTGAAAGTGTCCCAGATCCCTGGTTTTTTTTTTGGGGGGGGGTTCGTCGCCATCTTCGTGTTGCGTGGGGTTAGGTCTATAAGAACTGGGACATCGGCACGTGCCAACCCACCTGAAATCATGCAGAGGTGTGAAAACCAAAGCTTTTGGGGCGTGTCTTTTCAAACAGAGCCCCAAAAGAACTTCAAGTCGTTAGATCCTGACAGCAGGACGAAGGACTCGCAAGGCCATCACTCCCGAAACCTTTGCGAAGTTGCGGTCTTTTCGACGGTCTCTGGCGTGAGGATGTCGGATTAGAGCTGCGGGTTTTGGGGGTTAGGGGGTTTGGGTTTTGGGGATTTTTTGGGCGGAAGCCTAGACAGCGCTGAGGTCACATAGCTGGCACGGCGAAAGCTGGAAGAAAATCTTGCTTCTACTCGTCTTGAAGAATGGCAAGGCGCCGGCTGCAGTAGTGGAGTTTAGTGTTTGAGCTTGCAAGTTACGGGTTGGGGCTTCAGGAAAAAGTTTTTTGGCAGGGGAGGAGGGGTTGTGGTGTGCAGCATGCATATGGGTTTTTTTTATATGGCTTCCTAAACCTTAAACCCCCCCTCTTTTTGGCCAGTTCCTGTGTCCAGGCTGCCATGGCTGTGGGAACTCTTGGCGCTGGCTTGGCAATGTCACTTGCTGGCCAAGTTAAGCTGGGGCAGGCATGTAGGGATCAGGGCTAAGGGCTTACCCTATCCCTCTAAGGACCTCATAGTTAGGGCCCTAGACGCCTTGAGGACCCCATAATAATAAGGTCCCTGGAGGCATATAGGGTTAAGGTTCAATAGGTTACGGATTTAGGGTTTCAGGCAAGCAGGGTTTATATAGGGCTTTCTGGCTTACGGACCCGGGGGCTCTTAGGGTTAGGGCTTTGGAGTTGCAGGACTTATTGGGGTTTAAGGTTTCGAGCCTAGGCTTTCGGTTTGGTGTTTAGGCCTCTTTTTTACCCCAAGTAGCCGGCTTTTTAAAGGACTTATAGAAAGAAATCATAATAACGAACCCTCAATAAGAAAGGTTTCAGAAGGTCCAGGTTGTGCATAGGTGTGGGGACGACATCCTCGACTTGTACACTCCTCGTTAGTTACAGACTATAGAAGTGTTGTACGCACCATTTTTTTGGAAAGTAGCCATAGTGTATGGTGTAATTTTGTTTCATCTTCTTCAGTTGTAGCAATGACAGTATGGTATGTAAGAGCTTCTTCATGGAAACCTTAAATCCTAAACCCAAACCCTAAACCCTAAACCCTAAACCCTAAACCCTAAACCCTAAACCCTAAACCCTAAACCCTAAACAAACCCCACACGGACGATCAGGTTTCTCTTCATGGCCGGAATTCTCCCTGGCAAGTACAATGCTGGACGTGACTACGATGCCTTGAACTCCTGCTGGCTCTTGGGATGCAATAGGCCTTCAAAGGAACCTGTATAGCAGCCCTTATAGATTCCTTACCCAGAGACTCCAGTATCCCTTAGTTAAGGAATATACGTTAAATCATATTAGGGAGCCTACTATACTTTAAGGAACTTTAGGGTATATCCCTCAATCAAGGGATATTGGAGTCTCTTAAATGAGCCCTTATCGATCCCTCAAAGGAACCCTTATAGATCCCTTGTAGGAGCCCTTGTAGGATTTTTCTAAGGACCCCTTACAGGAAAATTGAAAGACCTCCGAAGGGTCGCAGAAGCTGAAGAGGGCACTCGTGTAGCATAGGGGCCTGATAAGTACCAATACTATTTTGGCGGCTCCTTTTTAAGATTATAGTGACTAGAGTATAATGTACTCCAAAGCTCCATTCTAGTTATTAAAGACTGTAGTATAAAACACCCCAAAGCGCTATTCTAGGTATTGAGGCCCCTATATGAGTATGATTAGCATGGTAATGAATTTAACTTCGAGCCCTTGAATCAAGGCCTCTGTCGCACGCAGTGCCCGCATTGGGCAGTGGCTCTTGACCTCCCAGTGATCAAAGCGTTGTAGGGCTTTGGGTCGAGGGCTTCGCGCTCTGGCGTGTTCTGCTCTAGGCCCGGGGGTTTGTCGTCCTAGAGCCTGGATTCCTCGTCCTAGTTGACCTAAACCCTAAACCCTAATCCCTAAACCCTAAACCCTAAACCCTAAATCCTAAACCCTAAACCCTAAACCCCAGAACTAGTTTGGGTTGGAGAGTACCGATATTTCCGGGCCCCAGCCCTGAAGCCCCAGGGCCCTAAACCACCCGGAAATCTGAACTCTAATCCTAAACGCCTAAACCTTTGAACCGTAAACCTGAACCCCAAAGCACCTTGAGCCTCTATAGCCCGGACATCTGCCCCCGATAGCCCAAATAAATCTTAGACCCATAGGCTCCGTAGTAGTTCCTTTTTGGGAATACCTTAAAGGATTCGAAAAGTATGATCCACAAAATGGAACTACTATGGAGCCTCTGAGTAAAGACTAACCCAGAGAGCCCAATACCACTTAATGAAGGAATATAGCTTAAACCATAATATGAGCCCCTACATAATTTAAGCTATATTCCTTAATTAAGGGGTCTTGGGCTCTCTGGGAAGCTGCTTATAAAGACTACTTAGAGGATCATGGGACTTAGTAAGTAGGTTATAATTGGTGTTATAAGTCCCCTAAGTGGGGTTATCCTAATTTGAACTTACTTATAACCTTACTTTCTAAGTTCCATGAGCCTTCAAGTAAGCTGCTCAGGTGCGTATGGACCGGCATCCTCTTGGCCTCCGTGACGCTTGTGTTCTGGAAGACGCGGAAGCTTGTCCTACCCTAAGGCTCCATGTACCCATATAGTAGGTACTTAGGCCTGAAAGGGGTCCCTATATGGCTACTTTAAGGCCTAGGTACCTACTATATGGGTACATGGAGCCTTTGGACTATGTCTGGTCGGTAGGATTACCGTTTACGGCCACTAGGGTTTAGTGATGTTAGTGTGGTTAAACCAATGAGATAGGAGCCTGACTAGTTACCAACAATAAATATGTATATATATATGTATATATATGTATATATATATATATACACACACATATATTTACACACATATTTTGGGTGCTCCTTATCATAACTATAGTATAGTATACCCCAAAACCCTACTCTAATTACCAAGGCCCCTGTATCAAAGCCTACTTGTAGGTTCATGGGTAGTTATGAGTGGGGTTATAAGTCCCCTAATATGGCTTATAGGTATAGTTACCCTACTTATAACCGTACTTATAACTACCCATGAACCTCCAAGTAATCCCAAACCCACATCCTCAACCTCGAGGTTGCCAGCAGAGTTGCAAGGCCTAGAGGCTTTTAGGAGGGTTTTTGAGGCTTTCCGGGCTGGTCTATCCGTTTCGGGTTTAGGGTTTTTTGGTTTGGGGTTTAGGGTTTTGGGTTTTAGGGTTTTAGGGTTTAGGGTTTAGGGTTTTAGGGTTTAGGGTTTAGGGGGGGCGAAATTAGATATGCAAGGCACCCAGCAGAGCTCAAAGACAAACAAACCTTAGTCCGAAACACAGAAGCCCTAAACCCGGCGTCCTGAAACCCAGTACGTAATACAATACCCTATACTATATATGTATTTTCAAATGAGGATCATATGCGCTTATTCTCTGCACCCGAAACTTTACATGGGAAGTTTTCTAAATCAGGGTCCCTTTTTAGGTCCCCCAAAAGGTACAGCACCCTTCTAAACAGGACCCCAAAAAGGCACCCTAATTTAGAGAATTACCCATGTAACAACACCCACCCCATCTTCGAAGGAAGATGGTGTTTCTGGACCGGGTGTGTGTGAACCAGGCCGGCCCCTTTCGGTTCTGCAATCAGATACCCAAGCGGTCCCAAGTATAAGAGGGTTCCTGTAAGGCTGCCTTGAGGGATCCTTTCAGGGTACTGTAAGGGTGCAGGGTTTAAGGGCACAGGGTGTAGGGTCCTAAGATACCTCTGATTAGAGTAGAAATTAGTCGAATGTAGGTTTCTAACGTAGGAACTACTCGTCTTATTAATGATTTTTGGGCAAGTATCCCCCACATAGATACTCAGGACTCTTTGGGATATTGACATCTGATTGATTATAGGTTTGTTTGGTTATGGTGGCAGCCGCAAAGTTGGAAGATGCGCACCCAAATTTTCAGCACCCTACAATTGGAATAAAACACATCTTCCAACTTTGGATTCTTCCAAGTTTGCAACCTTCCAACTTTTGATTACCGCATGAACCGCTCCAAATGCCGGGACCTAAAGTTGGAAGATAGGACCAAGCAGACCCAATATTTCATTGCAGTTTCTCCGTCTCTCTCTACAGTACTGGAGTAGTTGCAGTTTTTCTCCCTCTGCAATACTGGAGCGGCCATGGAATTTGCAGATATTTGCAGCTTCTCTCTTTTTGCGATATTGGAGCGGTCGTAGTAATTGTGCAACACTGGAGCGGTCCTAGGAATGGCAGTTTTCTCTCTCTGCAATACTGGAGTGGTCGTAGTATTTGCAGTTTTTCTCTTTGTGGAATACTGGAGCGGTCGTAGTATTTGCAGCTTTTCTCTGTCTGCAATACTGCAGTGGTCGTAATACTTGCAGTTTTTTTCTCACTCTCTCTGTCTCTGCAATAGTGGAGCGGTCGTACTAATTGCAGGTTCTCTCTTTCTGCAATACTGGAGCGGTCGTAGTAGTTGCAGTTTCCCTCTCCCTGTCTGCAATATTGGAGTGGTCGTAGTAATTGCTGTTTCCCTCCCTCAGCACTACTGGAACGGTCGAAGTAATTGCGGTTTCTCCCGAAAGTTGGAAGATACCGTTACCGCATCAACCGGTCCAAACGCGGGGACCTAAAGTTGGAAGATGGGACCAAGTCAAACCCAAAGTTGGAAGATGCCATTGCCGCATCAACCGTTCCAATTGCCGCCTTCCAACTTTCCGGCGGCTACTGTAGGGTTTAGGCTTTGGTTCAAAAATGGAAGTTTGATGAAGTATGGGTTTTGTTAGCAGTTTGGGATCTAGAGCCAATTTTAATTTTGGACGTTTCATGAACTTAGGTTTAGCTCGAAACCTTTAAGCGTCAAGCTTAAACCTTGAATCTCATTTGTTATTCGACTTGAGTGTTTTGTCTCACTGATGTGGATGACAACAATGACTTCAGCAAGCTCCTGCAAACCCTCTGGCTGTTTGGTCTGGACCCGAAGCTCCGCTGCATGTCAACTACACCGAACTCCATGGCGATGTTCAGGACACTTGTTCATGGTGAGGTGAAGATCATGGCCTTAGAGTCCTCTTCACTGGTTGCGGCAGCTCGGCAGATGACAAAGAAGGACGTCTTCGAGCTTGAGGAGATCATCGAGACGGTCACGGATTGTGGTGTGGAGCAGCTGAAGGACTTGAAGAAGCATGGCTGTGTGATGGTGGCGGGCAAGCTGCTTGCCAGCTCGCTTTTTGCTAGGTATCGGTTTGGGAGCATTTAAATCGCCCCTAATGGCAAACGGCTTTGGGGACTGTTGAGATCGACACCTAGTTCGGTGTGTCAGCTTCGTCGAAGTGTTGTCCCGCACTGACCTTGTTACTAAAGGCACAGAGGCCCACATCGCTAGCCTGTGCACCGACGAGGGATCACGCAAGTCCAGATGAACCCTGGACCTGAAACCCTACAGCGCGTTAGCCGATGTATGATGACATCCAAAGCCATGACACCAACGTTGGTCACGTGGTACGGTACCATGAAGCCTCAATGCGAAAGCCATGACCTAGAGGGGTTAACGGGCAGTAGAGGGTTTAGTTGTGCAAGTCATGGGTTCTCGCTTTATAGGGGTGAAGGCTTTACGGTGCTAGACCTGTTTCTGCTCCTCCCTCGATACTTCGGCTCTTCACCCACACAAAACCTTGCAACCGCCTGTAGCTGCAAGCACTAGCACAAAAGAAGAAGGTTTCCTCAGCTGCTTTAGCTAACCTTAAACACTTCTTGCCCTTCCCTGAACCTTACTGCGTAGATGCCTTCACCCCTCAGCTTGTGAGCACAATACTGTTACCGGTTTCGGGATATCTTGCTGCGACACCTTTGTAGCTTTGGGACCTTCTTTCGACGAGGGTCTAGTGTATTGAAGGTAGCCTCAAGCCCAAAGGGTCCAAGTACCATTATAGTAAGTACTTAGTAGGTCTTTGCGCCCCAAAAGTGTATACTCTACTATTACTTGGACCCTTTGGGAAGTACATCAAAACCCTAAACCCTAAACTGGAAAAGGCCCCATTGCACTTTAAAAGAAAGAACCAACACTGTTTCAAGTACAGCAGCCCCGGAAGTGCGCAATCCTGAGTCAGGATGAGTTGTGCAGATCTTCGAGGGACCTGGAGTCTTCGTTTTGACTTTAGGGTTTAGGCCCAGAGAGCCCAATACCCCTTAATTAAGGAATATGGCTTAAACTATATAGGGGCTCATATTATGATTTAAGCTATATTCCTTAATTAAGGGGTATTGGGCTCTCTGGGGGGTTTTGCGGCACAGTGTAGGATCCCGAACATAGAAGGAACTACAATGAAGGGACCTCTGTGATGTACACAACTGGACCTAGACTGTAGGGGCTCTATAGAAGTAGCTACTATTCTGATTTGGGAAAGTCTCCCCCATAACAGTACCTAGGGTCCTTTGGGAAGCAACCTTGGGGCCCCACCGAGACGTTTTTTCCTCACTCAATCGTCCTACTTGTTACTTGCAACCTTTGGGAGGGCTTCGCAAGAATGTACCTGCTAAAACCTACAGCTAAAACCCTCGACCCGAAGGGCACGAAGCCCGAAATCCTTCTTCAGGTAGACGAGGACGAGAAATGTGAGGCGGGGAGAGCTGCTGCTTAGGCTAGTCTGCGCAGGGTCCAAGCATGGGTTATGTTTGGTGTATGTGGGTACATATATACACACTTCTGTATATGTATACATATTATATGTATATGTATAGATATGGACATGAGTGGCTATCATCTTCCGGCCAAGGGTTTAGGGTTGAGGTTTCAGGGTGTAGAGTTTAGGATCTTAGGACGTCTTGGCAAAGGTTTTCAGGAAAACCCAATTATCTTAGTCTCTACGCGTAAATGAACCGCAAGAGTCGACCGGAGAGCCTTAAAGCAAGAGTCGTCTGCCGAGGACAATCTCAGTATAGGGTTTAAGGCTTGGCGTCTGAAAGCTTCTCCTTTGAGCCTTGCCCATAGGCTCCATAGTAGTTCCTTTTTGGGATTACCTTCTAGGCTTCTAAATGTATGAACCTAGGCTTACAAAAGAGTTACTATGGGGCCTCTGATTAAAGCAAAACAGCGTCCCTGGAGGCAGTCCTTAGCATCGGCGCTCTGCTGAAGTCGAGCCAGGCCAGTTCTTGCGGCTTGTGGCGAGTTCGGGGATTAGGGTGTAGGGTTTAGGGTTTTGGGTTGACGGTTTGGTGGCGTACCGATGCTCCGCGCTTACCACAGAGCGAGATGGGTTCGCTCAGGTTCACGTTCCCGCAAATCCCACCCACCCCGGTCTGTGACCTGTCGGGTTTTGGATGTGTCTTCATACCGAAAGGGTCTCAGGGACTGTTATGGGGAATACCTTCCCAAATCATAATAGTAATTCCTATTATACAAACCCAGACTATATAGGCAGGTACTTAGGACCGTTTGGGATAGTATGTTCTGTTGGTGCACCACCTGGGCCAGCTCCGTCTGCCGCAGGTGCTGAGTAGATAATCCAGACAGTGCCGGCAACCAGCTGAAACTTGACTCCTAAACCTTTGAAGTCTTCAATCCTAAACCCTAAACCAGCTTAAACTTGAATCCTAAGCCTTGTAAGCCGTCAACCTTTATTAAACCGTAAATCCTTACTCCTAGACCCTAAATCTGAAATCTTAAAGGACGTGCACCTGCTTGGACATTGCAGAACCCTATGCTGATCACGTCTCCAGCTTTGGGCTTGGGAGTATCCCAGGTACTACGAATCCAACCCAGTTTATGCCAAATAGCACCAAACCCTAGGCACGGAGCCATTAACCCCTTGAAGAGGTGCAAGCCTTCTTCATCAACTTCGCGCGGTTCCGTCAACCAAGATTCTCTCAACCGCGCTTCCTTCAACCATGTTCCCCGCTTCCCTCAACTAAGATTGTGCGATTCTTTCAACCCCCATCGCCCGCTTCCCTCAACCCGGATCTTGCCGATTCTGTCAACCCCCATCGCCCGATTCCATCAACGCATACTGTGCTGATTCCGTCAACTCCGCCCCCCCGTTTCCGTCAACCCTACAGTGTTGTCAACGCATCTCGCCCGCTCTGTTGCCAGTCTCACATTCAATAATGCAGCCCTTATACCCTTAAACAATGACCGGCGCGTGCTGGGGGTTGAGTGAATCTGCGTGCTGGGGTTTAAAGAATCAGGTTGTGTATGGGTTGAACGAAGCAGTTGTTTGGGTTGAAGGAATCATTTCCTTGGACATGGTTGAATGAATCTGCGTTCTGAGGTTGAAGGAAGCAGGTTTTGAGGTTGAAGGCATCCGCGTTTCCGGGTTGACAGAATCCGCAGGCAGTGGTTGACGGAATAATCGGCGAAAAGTTGAAGGAATCCGCACGCGACCCCTTGAAGACATCAAAGGGTTACAGTGAACCCCACGAAGTTGGCATGTGAATTACCGATGAATAGTGGTGGGTGTTCCCATACTTGTGTTTTCGAAGGCAGCAGGATTGTGATGTTCTAATTTTCTGACTTCGACTGTAAGGGTTTGAAGATTCTCCTTCAACCGTGAAGTATTCGCTCCCCTAGTGGAGCCAAGAGAACCTCAAACCACAATAAGACCTAAAGCTTTTTCGGGCCTCAGCCCCATTTAACGACACTGAACCCTGTCTCAGAAGAGAATAATCTACGTTCTGCTGTCCTCTAGCATTGCAGGCAATGCTGGTGCTGTGGGACACCACGTATGTGGAGAGGTTGCTTGTGGGCCCTTATGAAATCTTATGCATTTTTTTGGGGAACAGGGCCCGAGCCAAGCCCTGCAGCTTCAATGCCAGACTCAGTTTCGAAGCCCAACCCACATAGAACCCCTGCGTGATCTTAACATCCCTCAATTGTTGGGAGCTGCAAACCCGTGCGCCTTTATCATCAAAGCCTACATGGTGAACCCCGAAGGGTCAAAGCCTCATCAGTTGGGCCTTGAGTTGTCAACCTTTTGCAGTTTTGGGCTGTGGCTTTCTTGCTTGCAGGCTTGAAATCCGAAATGAAAGCCAACATCTTCAGCCACGAGATGGAGTGAATGTACATGCTTCAGTCGTTACTAACAGTATTACTTCAAGGCTCCTTAATCTCAGAAATACTGCTGCTACTACTTATGCAGGCCCTGTTTTTATGCCAGCCATGAGCGACTGGAATGGAAACTCTCTTCCACTATAGCCCAACTGTAACTGTAAGCAAACCGGATTTCTTTATGGGTGGTTGTCAAAATTGTGGTCCCGTTGTGAGTCCCGAATATAGTACGGCACCTAATATTTAAGGTGCCCAAAAAGGAATCCAATTTTGACGACCACCTTTATGTTGACCATGTTGACTTCGTAGAATGCAAAAACCACCAAGGCAAAATGTGCCTCAGTGTCCATCGCAGGACAAAGCCAGCAATGCGTCAGACTGCCCACAATCGAGAGTAGCAGGGGAAATCATTCACCCAACATTCTTCAAGAACCACAAGTCTGCAAAGCCGCCAAACTCTAAACCCTAGACCCCTAAACCCCTGCACCCTAAAACCTGGAATGCCAATGGAACTCGGAACACTAAAGCTCATTGGCTGTAAACTCAACTTTTCAACTTTTGGGGTTCTTACAAAGTAGTCGATTCTGAAAGTTTCAACTTTTATTCCCTTGGGTTTTGGGCCAGTGAGAAAGTCGGAGACCAAACCCTAGAAAGCTCAGGCTGTGGTGTGTCTTTGAACTGGCTGCGTACATCAAGTGCCTTGCCTGGATTCGGGGACAAATTTATGCTCTATCATGGACTTAAGCCCCATTTCGTGTTCGCGGTCCCTGTACATAATGCAGAACCCCAAGCCCCCAAAATTCCACAGGCCCAAACCGCTTCAGGCATTTGGGTTTTGGGCCGAGCTCTCAGCCGCCGCACGGTAAGCTCGATGGCCCCTATGAACACAGCGTGACAGCAAAGTTCCAAGCCCTTGACCTGAACCTCTTAGAGCACCCTGGTAGCACCCATGTAGAATTTGATATTCAAACGGCCATTACAGATGCATGAGCACACCAAAACCTATATCTCGAACCTATAAACCCTAAACCCTAACCCCTAAGCCCCCACACCCTAAACCCCTACACCTTAATCCTCAAACCCCTATTAAACCCTACACCCTAAACCCCTAAACTCTTAATTCCCTGAACCCTAAAGCCCGAAACCCCTAAACCCCTAAACCCCTAAACCCTAAAGCCCCGAAACCCCTAAACCCCGAGCCTTCTGAGGAGCCATGGCGACAGCGAGAACAGGCAGCCAACGATTCGACCGACTTTGCTGGGTCCATGCACATGCACCTGGGCTGTAATATCGGGGGCTTTAGGGTTTAGGGTTTAGGGTTAAGGGTTTAGGGTTTAGGGTTGAGGGTCTAGGCTTTAATACTTACCTAGACTATTTTTGGGGGTTCCTTACTATGAGAAAACCTTATTCCAATTATTACGCCCCCTATAGTATATAGACTTTTCGGGTTGAGGGTTTCGGTTTCGGCGTGGTGGCTCTCGCTTGGGGTTGAGCGGTGTGAGGTTCAGGAGCCTAGGCCACTGAATGACTGAAGCCCTCTGCACTACATGATATAGCCGTGATGTGAGGGTCCAGAGCACCTATAACGAGGTACTCTACTTTGGTTTTAGCAGATTTTAGCATGTTTAGCGTCGTAATCCGTGATGTGGGTTAGCATGTTGGAGAGTCTATGGTTACTATGCTCGCGAACACATACGGCCTTAGGACAAGAATCACTTTGTAACTGAAGGAGTGGTCTTGGATGTCTTGGCTTACGCCGCACATCTCGTTCGCGAGTTCTTAGAGTCCGCTGAATGATGGTCGTGTGCATGTGTGTATCTGCCTTCGAAAGAAAGGCCGAGGAAAACAGCTATGGTTTGTAGTTGCTCTTTTTCCTTGTGCGCATTCTTTTACATGAAGATGTCCATGTGCACATGCTGGTGTTTCGACGTCGACAAGGATATACAATAATACAAGTGCATATATGTATACACATATACACATACATGTCCATGTTCAGATACACGTACATACATGTACGCAGACACATTCGCCTACGCATGCATATGCGCGTACACAGACACATACACCTACACATGCACATGCACATACCCATACCCATACACACGCACGTACAGACACGTAGACACACACATTTATAATTTATATATATATATATATATATATATATATACACATGTATATACATATATATATATAGATAATATATATATATATATATACACACACACATGTTTGTATAGTGCACATACACATATACATATTCAATCACATAAACATAAACATATATCGCACATCTACACATACGTATACGTATACATGGGCTTGCATACAAGCCCTAAAACCTAAACCCTAGGCATAACTACATACACACATGCATGCCAGCATGCATGCTTTTGCATACACACGTGCATGCGTACATGCATGGATTTGCACCCCTGCATCCTATCTACGCACATATGTATATATATATATATATATATGTATATAGACATAGATACACACATGAAATTGTTTAGGTATGTATGGGTGTGTATATGTATGTATACGTACATGTTTGTGTATGTGTTTTTGTTCTTGCTTGTCGTGTCAGTATGTCAATGTTTTTTGTCTGCTCTTCTGCTGTTCTATATATATATATATATGCGGTTGCTTAGTTGATTGCCTGTATTTTGTCAGTTATTGCTATTCCCGTTTTCATTATGTGTATGCCGCATGCGAGAGACAAGAGAGACACAGAGAGAGAGAGAGAGAGAGAGAGAGAGAGAGAGAGAGAGAGAGACAGAGAGACACTGGAGCACCGGCCCAAACACGAGTTTAGAATTTAACTTTCAAGCCTGTAAACGACGCATCGTTAGGCCTTGTGGGCGCTCCTGATTCAATCGTAGTCTACGAAGGTTTAAGAGCTCGTTTATGTGTTGTCGGAATGCTTCATTTTCAAGAGTGTCCTTACCTTTGGTAGCGGGGACATTAGGCAAACCCACAGCATCCCCTAAACCCTAAACCCGCCCTTAGGCCTAAGCCTCAGGTAGCGTGGCTGTGGGCACGGCAATGTTCATGCTGGTTGCTCTGATGGCCCCTTTCGACAACCCGCTTTTGGGGGTGTCGCTGCTGCTGCTTCGCCCTATTTGGTTTAGGGTCTAGGGCTTGAGCCATTATTTCGATTCAGGGCGCCATCTCGCATCCCAGCAAGTACCCCCCAAGCTTTCGGTGGGTACCATAACCTGACATAATATATATATATATATATATATGTATATGTATATGTATATGTATATGTATATGTATATGTATATGTATATGTATATATAGACTGTATATATATATATATATGCACTTCTAGATAGATATGTCTACATAACAACATGCTAGTCTCTCTAACCCGGCCCTCCAGAAAGTGCGTGATGGTTTGGGCTGAGTCGATGGTAGCGCTCAAGGTCAGGAGAAATTACAACTTAGGCTTCACCGAGGGTCAGATACTTTTAAGTTACATGACCTGCCGATTAGGTAACCTCTAACCTCGTAGGGCTTATATAACCCTACTAATTAACTACAATTGGCAAGGTTAACCTTTTGTGGGCAAGGATGTTCAGCCCCTAAGCATTGGAGCTATATTTAGGGGTGCTTGTAAGTATTTGTTCATTGTTGGTTCCTTTAACCCCTAAGAAACAGCTAAAATCATAATTGCTGCGAGGGGTCTAAGTTCATTATATTATATGGCTCCATTGCTAGGATGATCAGTAGTACCCTTATTCCGTTTTTGTGGTCCTAGGTTCCTTCTAAAGCTACCCAATACCACAAAGGGAGCCCTTTTTATTCCTAGGTAACCTGGCATCCTAGACTGGATGATTAGGAGTTCTTGGGGTCAACGGAGCAATGGAGCAAGGATTTGCCAGAAACCCTCAACCGTAATGTAGGAGACTTAGACTAGGGTTTTGGGGGCATCCTGATTATGGCTGTAGTACAGTTTACTCCCAAACCCTATTCTAATTAATTTCTGAGGCCCCTCGTTAGGGTTTAGGGCCTTTGTGCCACATGGCTTAGGTACGGCCCCCACTCAGTAATAGTTGAATAATATTCATAATATAGATATATTAGGACCTTAATAGGAGGCCTATTATAGACTCTTACTGTAAGGGTGCCGTACCTAACACATGGCATATTTCAGGCTCGGTGTCAGCAGCGTCGGCTTTTTCGCCGCTGCGGCTGGCTTCAGAGGATTCTATCGTTCCTCGGTAGCACAGTCTGATCAACCTTCTTGTTTTGATAAAAGCTCGAGTGAAAGAAGCCTTACACTACATAGTTCTTGAGATGACTCTGCTTACGATGATTGCAATGATATTTCTGTAAATCTAAGTAGGCACAGCCACACCCGAAACCGCAGCCTCTGAACGGCCAGAACCTCCGCCGCATTCTAACAGTTTGCGCTATCCCCCCTGAACCCAACACCCAAGTCTACTGTAGGGGCCTTAATTATTTTGGGCGTCCCTTATTATAACAATATAGCATAATGGGCCCCAAAAGCTTATTCTAATTATTAATGCCTCCATAGTAATCATTACCGGTTTTGGAAAGCCGTAAACCCTGTAACCCAGCACCCCCGATCCGACAGAAGCGCAACTGATATAGAATCCGAAAAATTGCTGAAATTAACGCCTTGGGTGCCTCATAATATGTGTACATAGGCATTTAGTACATCTGTGTAGATGGATATACACACTAAACCCCGCAACCCTAATCGAACTTTTACAGCCCCTGCATTTTGCCAACTAAACAAAGTTCCATTAATCTAGAACCACCGTACCCTAAACACCTGCATTGCCCCCTTGCGCCTCTTAGCATCCATGTTGCCACAACAGCTGCAAAATCTCTCTACAACCCTCATCATGAGTAAACCTCAACCTACAAAGCTCTAAACCCCAAAGTCCTATAACTGTTGATGATACAAATCCTGCATTTCCCATAATAAGGAACATACCGCAATTCCCATAGTTTAGGGTCCTTAAGGGAATGCAGGATTTATATCATCCACCCTACTCATCGAAGCCCAAAGATTTCAGCCGCAAAGCCTTTATACGATCTCAGGAGCTATTGAGACAACAAAGGAGCAGATGATGAACTTTAGTGTTCAAGGTCGGACTTTGTCTATGGGGTGTGCGGGGGGCGTTTTTTTTAGGATTTAGACGTTAGGGTTCAGGGTTTGGGGCTTAGGGATCAGGGCTTCCGAATTTAGAGAATTGTTTCTGTTTGGGGATCTAGGATTGGGGTTCTGCAAGAGTTCAGAAACATTGGGATTTGTTACGTTGAGGGGCTTGGATTCTGTTGGTTCTGATAGGGCACACACACACAGATGTAATATATATATATATATATACACATACATATATATTCCGATGTATTTTAGATTATATATATACATCTGTATATATACACGCGGTTATATATGTAGATACGTATGCATATTCACACGCTGTTCGCAATTTGGTGTTTCGTCATCCGGGCTGCAGGGCAGTAGATGTGGCCATTTTGTGGTCTGGTGAAGGGTTAATGGTTTGCTGTAACAAATTATGGTTGTAAGTATCCAGCATGGAATGAAAGTACACCTCGCAGCCCAAACCCTGAACCTTAAACCCTTGAACCCTGGCACCAGCAGCCAAAGTACTCGCTAACCCTGGCCGCGTTGGCAGAGAACCCTCACCCCTTCGAACCCGAAACCGAAGCCCTGAACCCCTGCATCCCGGATGATGAACCCTAAAGCTTAAATCCGAAACCAATAAATCCTAAGCTCCTAAAGCCCAAGTCCTAAACCCCTGAACCCTAAGCCCTAAACCCTCCAACCCTAAACCCCCTAAACCTCAACCCTAAATCCCTGAACCCCAAACCCTCCAAACCTCTGAACCGTCCATCGGCCTCGGTGGTATAGTATACTGTATATTTGGTCTATCTCTGAAAGTGTGACTTTTCTGGGGCCCGGTTCATGAAGAAGAGACTACGAGTATGCGAGGCGAAGGCAGGTCGGCCAGAGTTCTTGCTGTAATATAGGGGCCTTTAAATAATTACCAATACTATTCTTAGGGTCCCCTATTATAAGTATAGTATAATATACCCCCAAAACCCTATTCTAAGTACTAAGGCCCCTATATTATCTGTTTTCAGCCCGAGATGATATACACAAGCGAAGAGGTTAACCCTAAACCCCTAAACGTCACGCAGTCTTTCTATTTGGGGTGGATATAAGGCTGAGCATCTAAACTCATCTAAACTCCTAAAGCCTAAACTGCTAAACCCTAAACCCTAAACCTCAAAAGGGTTTAGGGTTTTCCAGAGACTGTAAACTCGTTGACGAAAGCAAGTTCTAATTCCTGACATCAAGGACGGGTTTAAAAACGGATTACTACAGGAATATTGGGATCCTTCACACAGGGCGTTGCAACTTCAGAACCCTAAGCCAGCACGGAGGTGCAAAGTGCGCGTGCTGTGACATTGGCCACACAGGCAATGGAGTCCGTGGATAAGGATTGAGAGAAGCATCATACTAGCAACGCCGCAAATGATGGTACCATTAGCGGAGGCAAAACACACTGGGCAAAGGTTGAATGATGAATCACGGCACCAGGAATCGTAGGATAGAATGTAGCGGCTTATGGGCTTGGGTTTGGATTTCCGGATTTCGTGGTATTGTCAGTATCTATAGGAGTGCAGCAGGTAACCTAGAAACATTTGGTGGTTATTCTGACCCCTACATCATCCCAAAGGTTAGCTTTTGGTTCCCGCAGGCTACTGGACAAGCAAGTGTTTGTTTGCAAGTCCGGGGCTGCATTGTGGGGTTCTCCTTTTCCCTTACAGCCCCACTACAGTAGATCTATACTATAATAAACACCAAAACCCTATTGAAATTAGTCCGGTTCAGGTGTTTGGGTTAAGGTTTGAGGATTTAGGGTTTAGGGTAGGTTCGATGATAAACTCCATTGCAGAAAGCTCCGAAAGTTGGACCATGGACCAAGGAGAACTGTTGATGCGATTTTTGCCCTAGGCCCCATCGGTCGCTTTTCGGAACCGAGTTTTTAGGGATAAGAGTTCAGGGTTTAGGGATCGTGACAGACTCTCTGATGTGGCAGAACGTACTGTTGTTATAGCCCCCAGATATAATATAACACTTGAACAAAGCTGTTGCAATAACCCTGAGCTCTACGCCTTTGTGGCTTCTTATGTGGAGATCCCACAGCCTACTTCTGGAACTAGGTCTGAAACCCTAAACTCAAAATCCTGAGCCCTGACCTTTAAGTCCTAAACTCGACATCCTAAACTCTAAACCCGATCTCTTGAACCTAGACCAGTCTTGATGCCTCTGTTCACCGACGCAGAGGCGAGGTACAATAGGGGCACGTGGCGGGTAGCGAGTTCCGTCCTTGCCCAAGTACCCCTGCAGCCTTAACAGTAATCTCGGGAATCCCAGCACGAATCGTCCTCAATCCGGTTTCCAACTTTTTGGGGTTTACTGTAGTGGGTATTCAGGGTAAATTAGAGGGTGATTGCTCTGGTCCAGGCTGTGGTTTAGGGCTGGCAATTTGGTTTGCGGGGTTCTGGGCCTAAGGTTTAGGCTTTAGGGCTTGTCCCCTACGGGGTTTAGGGTTCAGGGCATAGAATCTAGGGTTTAGAGCATAGAGTCTAGGGATTAGGGCTTATGGAGTTATGAGTTAGCAATCAGGGCTTACCGGCTTGGCAATGCCTCGGTCTTCTTGTCTCTCTTGCAGGCGAGGGCGCGCTGATGCTCTGCGACCGGCGGATCGTGCTGTCATGCATCGACCAGTGGCAGCTTTCCTTAATGGAGACGAAGCCAAAATCCGACGTACGACCCGCAAAGGCAAACGCAGACATCTCTAACGCAATCTCGTCTTCGAGCATAGCTGGTTCTCCAAAGCTATGGGTATCTTCGTCAAGATGTAGACATCTACGGATCAAGCACCTTTCTCGAGTTGCAAGGGTTCAGGTAGGGTTCAGGATGCGGACCGTTGAGCCTTTTGCGAAATAAGAACAGTGATACCGACGGGAGATATAGATGTTTCGTTGCGAATGTTGCCACAAGACGAGCTGCTCCGAAATACGGACAGCTTTAATGATCCCCTGGAATCCGTCGTGCCTTTGTTCAGCCCACTTACGTTTCTGGTGGGACACTCTGCCTTGTTGCATATTCTGGGCTCAGAGACATTAACCAACCAAATATGCAGCCACGGTGCTATGTCGTCTGCAATTGCAGGCCTTTCGCTTCACTGTATTGCATTGCTGGTAGTGGCTGCGCGCTGTCTTGCGCAACAGAGCAAACCCAACACATCCGCCCTACCCCCAAATGTCACCATGGCATTCGTTTGCACAAATGCATGGTTACGTGATTGCAGCGTCGCATGGCTGCGTACTTGCACACACTAGACATAAACATGCAAGCCAACCTACCTACCTGCCTAGTCACCTACCTACTTACTTATCTTACCTACCTAGTCACCTACCTACTTACTTATCTGCTACCTACCTACCTACCTAACCTACCTACATATCTGACGCTTACATATGTACATATTGACTTATATAATATAGGTTTACACAATGCGTACATATTTGAATCATGTTACTTCCATCTGACTGGCTGCAGACTCACTTTATGATAGCACTAACCCAGCCTGGAATGCTGTGCCGTGGTCTCTGCTCTGCAAAAGGGGGAGGCATGCTTATGGGATTACTTTATGGTTCAGCAAGGTTTCCATACAGTTTTACAGGGCCTCTACTGCGCTTTCTATGGTTGCTTTGAATAGGGGCGTGGGGTTAGGGGTTGAAGCGCCCTGGGGACTTGTCAGTAGGATGCAAAATCAGGGTCTGCCTTTGCTATCCGGTTATGCTTGGGTTGCGCTTCGGTTTCTGCTGACTCCAATCGCCCGCTTATGCAGGATTTCCTTGCTGAGGAACCCAGATCTTACGTGAAACGTTGAGGTTTGACGGTATCGGGTCCAGGGTTGAGAGGATGGGCCCATTCCTGGTAAGACACGAAGACATGACAGCGACCGAAAACCTTACGCCTATTTCCAACTTCAATAACCCTATCCCTCCAAGGACTTCATAGTCAGGGCCCTAGACCCCTTAAGGACCCCATAATAAGGTCCCTGGAGGCATAGGGATAAGTCCGAAAAGCGACTGCCGCACCGAGCTTGCTGGGCGGATCCTTTGCCTTGTTGCCTTCGCGGCAACAGCAAGTTTACGAGTTTGGGGGTTTAGAATTCAAGCTTTAGGGTGAAAATCAATGCCAGAGTTTCTGAAAGCGTAGAGTTAAACGTAAGTCTGTTATACTTGGTAATTATCAGCCTGAAAGTCAAAAACGTGTACTTCCTGGGATATTGGGAAAGTAAGACTTCGATGACAGTCGCGTCATCAGCATGAGTACGAAAGCTGGCATGGAGCGCCCGGACTCAAGCTTACACCATGCTCAATGAAGAGGCATCGTTATGTACATCTCTATCATCAAAACGAAGCCATTCTCACACTTTACCTGGGCTTAGCCCCAAAGGCCGGGTTTAGGGTTTCAGCGGTTTCAGGACACTGAGACCCAAAGGATCCCAAGTACCTATATAGTGCTTCTGTGGTAGGGACTACTACTGTGGTTTGGGGAAGTATCTCCATGTAGATATTTAGGGCCCTTTGGGAAAAGGTACGGCAGCATCGACGTCTTCGAGGCGTCTGTGCAGTCCGTGGTACGAGAAACATTGGCCCGACAGTTGGGACAGGACTGGCCGAGGTTTCGGGTGTTCTATATGAACCAGAGTAGTTGGTAATGGAGACTGAGCGAATGAGGGCTTTGCGCATGAATGTGCGTGTCTATGTATATATATATATATAGATATGTTCATTCATTTGACTGTTTTTATCTGTGTATTTATGGATTTAGTTTTGGCTGTATTTTTTGTTTATGTCTTTAGTCTTTATTCGTTTTATCTATGTACTTGTGTATGTATCTGTTTACATCTATTCAGGCATGTGTGTATATATATATATACACACACGCGCACACGCACACACATGGGGAAAATCACTGGGCTGATGCTCCACGTGCAGAAACAGCAGCTGCTTTGTGGTCCAAATCTGGCACATGGAGCCACTTCGGGCCATGTGGAGCCTCAAGGCATTCATCCTTGTAATATAGGGGCCTGAATAATGACCTACACTATTTTGGGGATTCCTTATTATATGTTTAGAGTAATGGGCCCCAAAACCCTATTCTAATGATTATTTAGGCCCCTACATTAAGATCCCGCACCTTGGTGGGCTTGTTGTTCGGAAATGCTGCTTTGAAGGACGCTGAGGCTGAGGGTTCATGTTAAGCGTAAGCTACAATAGCGGCACAGTTTGGGGGTGGCTTAAGCAGTTTGAACTGTATAGACGTTCCGCAACCCCTAAACCCCCAACAGCCGCCCAATATACTAGAATCTTGAAACCGTGAGCTTTTCCAGCCTACACCCTTGAATGAATATTACTTAACACTTCTTCAACATCGCAGGTCGCAAGCAATGCAAATGAAGGCCCTAAGCCCTACCTGCCCTTTTGAGGTCTTCTATAAGGAGTTCGTATTGGGGAGCCGGGTCTACGTGAAGCCCTCATACAACCTGACTATGCCAATCAGTTCGATTTTCCATACAGATCCCTGACCCCCTAACCCCCCCAACGCTTCAACCCGTAACCTCACTGACAGACTGGGACCCTACATCCCTAAACGCCTAAACCCTACATACATCCCCTGCCCTAAACCCAACGCCTAAATCCTATATGGGTGGTTGTGAAAATTAAGGTCCCTTTTGGGGTACCGTGAAGATTAGGTGCCGTATTGTAACAAGGACCGAAAAAGGGACCCTAATATTGACAACCACCCATATACACCCCTCGCCCGGAGGATGTTTTCCCATATCTTTGGCTCGTGGGTGCCTCCGTTCCTGCTCTTCGGCCGGCGACAGACAGTACCCAGAGAGCCCAATACCCCTTAATTAAGGAATATGGCTTAAATTATGTAGGGGCTCATATTATGATTTAAGCTATATTCCTTAATTATGGGGTATTGGGCTCTCTGAGTACCATTATGATCGAACTACTATACAAGCCCGGAATCAGTAGAATAGGTTCCTTTGAAGGGGTTCTATAAGGGTTACTACAAGGCATCTATAAGGGTACTATAATAAAGGGGCCTTAATGTTAATGCTCTGGCTGCTACTAAGGCGATAATTTCCATCAATTCTGATTATTCCTGTTGCATACTAGTACTCCTTCTATTACTAGTAGAATTAGTGCTGGTACTGAGAGGGGTGAGGGCGCATTCAGAGTTTAGGTTCCAAACTTTGGTATAGTTTGTTCTTAATTTTTGTTCATATAAAACCCAAGCGACTATTGACAGTATTATTATTATGGTTCCAAGGAGGGGATAGTTTTATAAGGTTTACAGGATCTGGGGTTTTCTAGGGCTTCGGGGTTCAGGGTTCAGGTTCCTGTTTGTTTTTAGGTTTAGGGTTTAGGGTTGCTATTTTCCATACAGTTCGCAGGACTTAGGGTTTATGGGGCTTTTGGGATTAGGGCGCGTCTCTGTTCCCAGGTATGCTGGGGTTTGCGGTCCAGTACTGCCGGAAGATTCTTTCCTTCTCTCTCTGTCTTCCTCTCTCTCTCGCTCCCTCTCTTTCTCCCCCAAAGGGTGCAAGTATCAATCATTATGGTGTATTCTGATAGGGTATTTTGGGGGTCTAAGTATATACCATAATGATACTGCTGATGGACGAAATCCTGCATGACCCTTTATAAGGAATATACCATAGTTCCCATAGTTTAGGGTCCTTAAGGTCATGCAGGATTTTGTCCATCAGCAGTACTTGGGCCCTTTGGGTCCCGTGCTCTCAAAGTCTCCATCGGCCCGACCTTCCCGTAACCGCGGCTCCGAGTCGAATGTCAGCAGTTTTCGGTCCTTCAGTTGAGGAATAATATAGGGGCCCAAATAAGTTCTAACACTATTTTGGGGGGGGTCCCTTATTATGATTATAGTATAAAGGGCCCCAAAACCCTATTCTAATTACTAAGGCCTCTATTTTACTCTCCTGTAGAGTTTATAGGGTCTTAGGGTGCGGGAGTCTCACTTCGGGGTTTGGTGTTTTAGGGGTTTAGACGGTTTAGGCGTTTAAAGTCAGCAGCGCAGCTGGTGTCATGAGAAATAGTTTTAGGAGCAGCCCTAGGAGTCCCGTAGGGTTTAGTGACCGAGGTCGTAGTGCCCAGAACCAACGGGCAAGTATACATGGGCCCTATACATATATATTCCATCACATTTCCCCGCTCACGAAGCTCTTGAACCCTATAAACACTAAGCCCAAACCCTAAGGGTCCAAAGGACCCAATAATTAGGTACTCAGGTTTCGGAGAGTGGTTACGTAGGTTTCTATTTGGGAGAGTATATGATTATTGGGTCCTTGGACCCCCTGGCGCTCTACAGGGACAGCTCGCAAGGGCCTTTGGTTCGGGGCTTTGGGCTCTCAAGAGTGTAGGGTTCAACGGGGGGTACGCTTTGGGAGTTGGTCCTTTCCATGCTCTGACCTTATCCCTCCAAGGACCTCATAATTAGGGCCCTAGACCCCTTAAGGACCCCATAATAAGGTCCCTGGAGGCATAGGGAGAGGATTTATCTGTTTGTAACCCCAAGCCCCAAACCCCAAACGAAGGGAAACAAAGTTCAACACCACCAGGTGCTCTGGGGCATGATGGACATCGTGGCCATACGCGTAGCGGCTGGTGATAGACAGGCGCGTCTTAGCAATGGTAATGGTCAGGTCCTCGGTGAAGCTAGGTTAACTGGTGTCGTTCAGGGGGAGCCTTCCTGTCAGCACAGCTAATGATACTGCTGATGGACAAAATCCTGCATTACCTTTTATAAGGAATATACCATAGTTCCCATAGTTTAGAGTCCTTAGGGTCATGCAGGATTTTGTCCATCAGCAGTAGAACCATCACCAAACAACAGTGGCATTTCCTGTCCACCACAAGCACCACCGCCGTCGGAATTGCCACAATCATCGCCCCCCCGCCACCAACAACAACACGAGCACCAACGCGAAATCCTACAACACCACCAAATTGCATTGTGCATTATAGTGGTGTGTTGCATTCTTGTATTGTCTGGCATCACATGTATGAGAGTGTGCCCGTAAGCTGTCCTGATCAGGCCGCCATGCAATATGCGATCGTGACTGGCCTGTTCAATCTTATGTCGGGTTGGGTCATGTGTTTGGAAGTTTACAGCTTAGGGTTTCAAGGTGGGACCTTCTCTTAGATCCTCCGGATGGTCGTTTGCAGTGCCCTCGTGCAAAGCGGTTGATGTGTTCTTTCAGGCTGTGGCGTTTTGGAGGATTGTCAGGCTTAGTAGCCGGGTAGGTAACCTTTAAGCTCTGGGGTTTCATGTATCCTGCCATAGTTGAAAATTCATTGAAAATGTTAACCTTTTCGGGGCTAGGGTGCTCAGCCCCTAAGAACGTGTTATTTGTCGGAAGATTTTACGAAACACAGGATGCTGGGGCGCAGCTTTGGGCATCGGTCGTCACGGCCTGGCAAAGGGGGGCGTTTACGCAAATTTGCTCAGTGTAGGGGCGTCAATAATTAGACTACGTGGGGTTTTGGGACCCGCTATGCTATATTTATCACAAGGCACCACCAAAATTGTTGTGGTAGTCCCCAAGCCCAAACCCCGAAATCGTCGAAGAAATGGACTCTCTGCAGAACTCAGAAGTATAAACTTATTTGGGCACATGTGTATTTTGTTTTTGTTTTTTATCTCTCTCTCTCTATATATATATATATACCAATATACAGGGTACTGTAGGACCAGTATATATTATGTGTGTACATGGCCCCTTAGGGCCTGTACTGCTCTTGGGAATGATGTGTTGTTCTTCTTATATGTAAATTTGAATATCTTAAGGAGATTCCGGAGAATATTATTGGAATATGTTTCGTTCTTCTTATACATACCTTAAGGGGGTTAATGAGAACTTTATTGGAATGTGTTTTGTTCTTCTTATATATAACTTAAGGGGACCAATGAGAATATTAGTGCCATTTAGGTTCTAAGCGCGGCTTAGTTACGAGGCAAGGCACAGCTCCAAGCATAGACGGTTGTGTGAGTACGGTACTGGCAGTCTGGATGAGATAGCAAGTTTGTTTGATGGGAGTTTCCGACAGCAGGGGACTGGAATACAGTACCCTAAGTAGTAGGATCCTGATTATAAGGACCCTCCAAAATAAGGTACCCGTTATTTTCGGAAACTCCCAAAAGGGTTTGAATATAGTAAACTCCAGCAAACACCGGCGAAGCTTGAGAATCCTGTGAACCCTAGCCTGAAGCCCCAACGAGCCAAACGCGGTCAAACCCGAAGTCTTGAGCCACGAGGCCACGGTCCCTTTCAGAGCCCTGAAATCCGCAGCCATCCGAAGCCCCAAAAGCCAAAGCCCCAATCCAAAACCTCGAGCAAAACTGTGTATTCAAACTGAACAGTACCAAAACCCCCCAAAACCCTAGAGTATATAGAGATACTCAAATATCAACACCACCCACTGTGAGGTCGGCGTGGTGTGGTGGCTCTGTGTGTTTCCTTTGCTGCCCCCTGGACTCGGGACTCGTCGTTTTGTGTTGTTTTTAGAGAGTTTTAGGGTTTAGGGTTTGCAAGGCGTTTCCTTTATTTTGGATCAGGGCTCGGTTTCGCGCATTTGGGTTTTGCATTGAGGTGTCATAATTTGGGGCTTTGAGGTTTGGGACCCTCATGCCCTGATCTTGTTCAGCTCAGGGCTTGTGAAACTCAAATTATAGGAGTTTCCGAAAATGAGGGGCTACTTTATTTGGGGATCCTTATACTAAGGATCCTACTATTGAGGGGGAAGCTCCCCTATACGTTTTGAGGAGTTGGGTTGATGGGTTGATTGGGGCTTTATGATTTGGATCTAGGGCTCAGGGCTTTCTTGGCTTTCGTGTTTACGGCTTCGAAAGATGTAGTCGGTAGTTGGTGTTTGACGAGACATGCCGGCAGTGCTCCCCTCTACCCGATTGCACCCGGAGCAAACGGATCGCAGACAAATGCTAAACCCTAGAACCTCAAACATGGAAATACCTAAAGGGTCCACGTGCCCCAATAGTATATACTTTGGCCTAAAGTAGTCCCTACATCGCTGCTTTCGGGCCAAAGTATATACTGCTTGGGCTCATGGACCCACGGCTGAGCCAAGTGCCGTCTTAGTACGAAGATCAGATAATCCCTAATCCTAAACTGTGCGCGCGAGAGAGAGAGAGAGCGAGAAAGAGATATCGAGCTTCGATACAGGTTTAACTATTATTTTGTGTGTTGGTCCCAGCCCTCTACCCCGGAAGGATCCCGAGGGTCTCCGCCTCATATGCCCAGAGAGCCCAATACCCCTTAATTAAGGAAGATGGCTTAAATTATACAGGGCTTCATATTATGATTTAAGCTATATTCCTTATTTAAGGGGTATTGGGCTCCTGGGTAGCCCCCAACTACTGTCGGATTGGCCCTTTCAGACAGATCCTTGGGCGCATGCCGGGCCAGCCGCTGTCAGACTGTGGTTGGATATTTGGGGAAGCTCTAGCAATCGGAGGAAGACAATTTTCTCTAGGCTTCCTATTTATTTCAATACACCATATGATACCCCGCCCCCCCCCCCATAAACAACAAAAGTCATAATCATCAACGCGCCGACATGAGTTGGCATCACAGGAACAAGGAAGCCCCCTGACAACCTTTAAGCAGCTCAGGTTCAGTTTTTCAACCTGACGGTTTTGCATAAGCACTTGGAGGGTCGGGGGACTTAGTAACCGGTTATTTTAGGGACTTATAAGTACCATAACCCCAATTAGGGTGCCTTTTAGGGTACTTATAAGTCTACTTACTACCTACTTACTAAGTCCCCCGACCCTCCAAGCAGGGCAGGGCAGCCTACACCCCCAAGCCAAGCCAACATCCCCACCACCGGAACGCCCACCCTGACTGCAAGCAGCAGGGGCTCACAACTAGGATGCCCAGTAGTACCCTTATTCTTTTTTTGTAGTCCTAGGTTCCTTATAGTAAAGCTACCCAATACCACAGAGGGAGCCCTTTTTATTCGTAGGTTACTGGGCATCCTAGATAATCACGAAAGCGCAATGCTTACTTAGTAGCTGAGTGGATGCACTTTACACTTTTTGGGATATTATTACCCACTATAAAACTGAAAGTGTACACTTTTGGGCGCTTTTGAACACAGCAACTAAGCTTACCGGTGCTGGGGGAGCCCCATAGTCGCAAAGGTTCGCTGGCTGGTCGAAGTTGGCGTTTCTGCTTCGCCACAGGGGCCGCCGAGGATATGACATCCTCATGAACTTCCTGTGTAGCTTGTCCAGGTATCCATTTTTAGGGTTAAGGGGTTTAGGAGTTATCAGTTTCGGGGTTTAGAGCTTACGGTTTAGGGGTTTGGAGTGTAGGGTTGAGGGGTTTATAGGGGTTTAGAGTTTAGGGTTGAGGGGTTTAGAGTTTAGGGTTAATGTATATGCTGTGTATATATATATATATATGATACACATGTAACCACATATACCGACCTAGCTACCTGCAAACCTGCCTATACACATGAACATACAGGCAGACATACGGACAGACAGGCAGATAGACAGACACACAGACAGACAGAGACAGAGAGACAAAGAGACAGACAGACGGACAGACAGACAGACAGACGGACAGACAGACAGACAGTGACGGACAGACAGACGGACAGAGACAGACAGACAGAGACAGACAGACAGAGACAGACAGACAGAGACAGACAGACATGCATACACATACATATATGCATTGATACATATAAACATATGTATGTACATGTATACAGATACGTAGATACGTAGATACATGTATTCATACATACATAGATATGTACATATACGTATATACATATATCTGCATATATACATGCACACACACACATACAGATTCAGATACAGGTGAATACTATATATATATATATATATATATATGCTGTATATATATATATATATATATATATATGTATGTGTACATGTGCGGTTGGTCGCGTGCAGCTTTGGTGATGGGTGTTGCCCGTCAGTGCCATGCCAAGCACCAAACTTCTGGATTGTGGAAGTGTTGAACAGAAAACAGCTACAGCGAACCATGCCAGCTTCAATTTAAGAGTTTGGGGTTTACATGTGTTTCGGGTTTCGGGTTCAATCCCTTCGTAGCGGATATTCTGATTCTGAATTCCTGTCCCATTTAAGGACCTCACTAAAGGCCGGTCTTAAGCCCCATGGAAGATCCTTCGCACATACCGTAACGCATACAGTAGGCCACCTTTATAACCACTCTGAAGTCTCCGGTCTCTGGCAGTGTTGCAGACAAATCCAAAATCCGAAACCTAAATCCTAAACGCCTTCACAATCAAAAGTCTGAAGCTGCAGAACCCGTAACTTTCTAACGATACATCCTAAACTATAAACTTCAAATCCTCGACAAACCCAGCCTTAGGCTGTCTTGCATGGCCGCCGTTGCTGGGGCTGGTGTATGCCTTCCAGGAGGCTCCTGGTCAGAGGGTGGAGGGTTTAGGTTTAGGGTTCTATAAGGGATCCATATAGGGTTGAAGGTTTGGGGTTTTTGGGGATTTATGGTTTTAGGGTTTAGGGCTTTCGGGTTAAAGTTTTGAGAGGTTTAGGGTTAGGGCTTAGGGTTTAGGGGTCTCTGCCTTCCAGTATGCCCCCCGTGGGCAGGGTCTTGTTTGGCCCTGTGGTTCAAGCTCCTTAGATAGGAGGTTCCTGACCAATAATACCATAAATCCCTAAACCCTAAACCCCTAAAAACCTAGACCCTGAACACCAAAAAACCCGAAACCCTAGACCCCTACACCCCAACCCCCGAAACCCTAAGCCCTGAACGCCTAAACCCTAAACCTTAAGATGTAACCCTAAACCCATCATTTGGGAGTTTCCGAAAATAGGGGACCCTAATATAGTACCCTAGATAGTAGGATCCTTATTAAAAGGAACCCCAAATAAGGTACCTTTAATTCAGAAACTCTAAACCCTAAACCCTTTATAGAACCCTTATAGATCCCTTTAAGGAACCCTTAAAGGATCCCTTTAAAGGTACCATTAAGATGTATCCCTAGCCCATCATTTGTGACCTGGAGCCTTCGCGCCTTTCCCCTAAACGGTAAAACCCCGAAGCCCCAAGCACTAAACAGGGGTTTGGGGTTTAGCGTTCAGGCCCTAAACCCCTAAAGCCCAACATCCTGTTTAGGGTTTGGGGTGTAGGGTTTAGGGTTTAGAGTTGAATTAAAGGGTTTAGGGTTTGGGGTTTAGGGTTTAGAGTTTATAGCGTTCAGGGTCATCCGGTTTAGCATTTAGAGTTTATAGGGTGTAGGCTACATAGCGTTCATATGTCCAACCCGCGCCCCTCCCCCCGAGCTTGAGGCCTGCACCCGCCTGCTGGACGATGAGGCAAGGCTGAAAAGGACTTCAAAGGGGAAAAGGAGGGACCCTTAATGGGGACCCCTACCCTATAATGGGCTATATATAATGGGTATGTAATAGGGTATATACCTACAGGGGTCCTTATTATATTAAGGGTATAGACCTAGGGGTCCTTATTAAGGGTCCCTCCTTTTACCCTCGGAGTACTGGAAGCTTTGGTTTGAGGTTGAGGGTTTCAGGGTTTGGGAGCTTAAAGGGTTCAGGGTCGTGTTTGGGGGGGCAAGCCTAAACCCCTAAACCCCTAAACCTTTATGAAGGTTCTACTTGGAGGTTCATGGTAGTTCTAAGTGGGTTATAAGTAGGGTAACTATACTTATAAGCCACATTAGGGGACTCATAAACCCCTTTTATAACTACCCATGAACCTCCAAGTAGAGTTTAGGGCAGTTTAGGGGATGTCGGTTTCCTGGATAAGTGGAATCGCGCTTTGGGGTACAGTATGATATGGTTATGATTTTATGATCATTAATGAGGAGCCCGAGGAACACGAGTTCGACCATTTTGGGCCCCGAATTTGCGCTGAAGCCCCACACCACGAAATGAGAGTTTAGGTGTTGACACTGGCTCTGTAGTGTGGTTTGAGTGAGGTTTTATGTTGCATCACAATTTCACAAGGACTCGAAAGAGACTTAATTATGTAGGAACCTGATTAAGAAACCCTGGCCCTGTAATCCCAATATATTAAGGGTTCATATAAGGGACCCGAATTATGACCAAAGGTTTATTAGTCAGGTTCCTATATTACAAAGTGTTACCATCCAGCTTATGATTAAATTGTGTGGATACAGGGCCCCGGGTCACTCTATCAGGTCTTCACCACACCTCCACGAGAAATCTTTGTACGGTGGGCAAAACATCAGTTGGCGCAGATGGGGCAATACTGCCACACCATATTTCCATGGCAAGCTGAAGCCATGTTGCACGAGTTCGCCCATAAACTGCTGCACAACTTGCCGGTCACAAGCAGGACCTGACTCCACTTCGAAATTCAGAATAAGCCATCGTTGTCCAGAATATGAAGTGTACCCCACCTATTAGGATGCTTCTCCCTATGCGCGGGTCAAGAGCCTTCTATTTCGGTTTTGTAATTATTGGAGCCCCTAGATTATGGATCAAACCACAGTCAGGGATTTGGAGCTGCCGGTACCCTGAACCTCGGGCTCGCGAGCCCTGCTTAGCCCTCAACTGCTGCCCTCTGGACTTGAACTCTGGAAGCCTTCATGAAGCGAAGCTCAGGAAAAGACCCTAAACCCTAAACCCCTAAACCCTAGACCCTAAACCCTAACCCTATAGAAACCCCACCAACCTCTGCAAGGCCCCCCTAACAAAAAAGGTCGCTCTCCAAAACCCATGAAAACCTCGAGGAGAGACTTCAAAGCTCTAGCAGCCAAGCCTCCTGTTTTGTTGGGCTCCTTCAGGGGTTCTGCAAGGGCTGCTTAAAGGCTAGGCTTTGGGGCTTTAGGGTTATAAGGGCTTCTCTAAGGCTGGGGTTTAGGGTTGAGGGATTATTTTTCCCAAAGGCTCCATGTACCTTTATAGTAGGTACTTAACTCTTAAAGGGTCCCTATATAGGCAGATCAGGCCTGAGTATATACTGTATGGGTACATAGACCCTTATACCCTCAACCCTCTAGAATAGAACCTTTATGGAACCCTTACAGGAACCTTATATCTAAATCCTAAAACCTAAACCATGGAACACTTCAAGGAACCCTAAACGGTACATGGAGCCTTTAATTTCAGTGGTTTTTGGAAGAGCGAGGTCCATGCGGCCCTCGTCTTTGCTACGACGTGGCGACCTAGCTGAGGGGTTAGGGTTTAGGGATTAAGACTGGGCTTGCGAATTAGGGTTCAGGGTTTTAGGGTCTGGGAACAGGCATTTGGGGATTAGAGTTTTGAGGTTTTAGGGTTTGGGGATTAGAGTTGTAAGGATAATTAGGGTTCAGGGTTTTAGGGTTATGTAAGGTTTGGGAATTATGGTTCAGGAATTTAGGGTTTGGCAATTAGGGTTCAGGGTTTTAGGATTTTAGGGTGTAGGGAATTAGGGTTCAGGGTTTTAGGGTGTAGGGAATTGGAGTTCAGCGTTTTGGTTTGGGAACTAGGGTTCAGGATTTTAGGGTGTGGGGAATTAGGGTTCAGGGTTTTAGGGTGTGGGGAATTAGGGTTCAGCGTTTTAGGGTTTGGGTACTAGGGTTCAGAGTTTTAGGGTTTAAGTTCAGGGATACAGTAGACGCCAGAAAGTTGGAATATCATTATCGTAACCCCTTTAAGGTAAGTTATAGGGGATCCTACCCTTAATCCGTATTCCAACTTTCTGGAGTTCCCTTTAAGGGCTAAGGGTTTTACTGGGGATCAGGAGGGTTTAGGGTTTAGGGTTTAGGGTTTAGGGTTTAGGGTTTAGGGTTTAGGGTTTAGAGTTTAGGGTTTAGGGTTTAGGGTTTAGGGTTTAGGGTTTAGGGTTTAGGGTTTAGGGATTAGGGTTTAGGGTTTAGGGTTTAGGGTTTAGGGTTTAGGGCTTACAGGGTTCCAGGTCAACATCAGGGCTTGGGTTCAGGAATTAAGGGTTTAGTGATTAGGGGTCAGGGTTTAGTAGGGTCAAAGGGTAAAAGGAGGGACCCCTAATAAGGACCCCTAGGTATATACCCATAATATAGCCATTTTATAACAAACCCTTTATATAGCCCATAAAGGGGTAGGGGTCCCTCCTTTTCCCCTTTGATAGGGGCTGCATGCTTAGAGTTGAAGAGAGATTTAGGGTTTGGGGACTCTTGGGGTTTCTGATTCAGGGGGTTTACGGGGTCGGATCGAGGGGTTTAGGTTTCAGGATTTAGGGTGTAGGGTTTTTGGGTTTGGGGTTTCGAGTCCATCGTTTAGGGTGTGGGCTTTGGAGCCAGGATGACTTGCGGTATTGGTCTTCGGCAATCTTCAGCGGGCGAAAAGCGGACTACAACCACAAATAGCTCTCCTGGGTAGGCCATTGGGAACTTTGCGATTTTCTCTTCTTGTGCTTCAGAGGATGTTAGCTACGAGTATGTTTCAGAGGCTTTCAAGGGCCGAATTCGTTCTTCTGTGTTCACCTGTAACACCATCACACTACCATTATGGACGTAGGCCCAAAAAACATAGTAGAGATGGTTTTTTCGTGCCTAACCCTAAACCCTAAAATGGTAGCGTAGATGGACTCTCTGGGTACTGCTCCGATAGGTAGGTACCTCGAAGCAGGACGCATCTCCACCGTCTCAACGCACTCAACCACGACCCCTTAAAGGCTAAGCGTTTTAAGATTTATCCAAATCGTCCAAATTCCGTTAATAGATCTATGAAGAACGGAATAGACCTTCAAACTCATATTAGGGAATCTACTACAACTCAAGACATATTCCTTAGTTGTTAAGGGATAGTGGAAGATCAGGGTAACAATCCATGAAGAACTACCACAACTCCCTACAACAGAGTTCGTTTGCGATGAAGCCTTACCCTGTTGCTGTATGACCCTCGCCATCAAGTGCTTGAATCTAGCAGGTAGGACCCCCCTAAACCCTAAACGAAGGCCTCGGTGAAGATCCGATCCGAAGTCGCACACCCATCACTCCAAGCCCGGAGCTGCATTCACGTCCCAACTGTCTGGAGCAAAAAGATTGACAAACCAAACCCTGTCAAAACCGTAATCCCTGAACCCTGTCAAACCCTAATAGCCTCAAACCGTAATTTAGTAATACCCTTACTTTCAGAACGCGTGTAAACCCTGGTAGAAGCCTAGAAGATCACGGGATCCGAGTCCGTCTAGATCCACTGTAGAAGTTTTCTTGAAATGTCATAACATCCTTGTAAGACCTGCTGCAAACTCACAAAACTGCCAAAAAGACCGTCAAAGAAAAACAAGCGCTTCCCCAAAATCCTGTAAGCTATATGAACGCTTAACCCTACAGCCCTGAGAAGCAACCAGGATCGCCCTGGTTCTGGTGACTCGCGTGTGTCTCCGCGGCCGCCCACTTGAGCCGCCGACAGCTCCGAACGAATCGGCGACGCGATGGGAATCAAGGTCATAGGAGGCCAAAAGGGGTTTTAGCCTATGGCATATGGGGGTTTAGTAGGGATTAGGGTTCCCATCGTAGGGTTCATGTTAAGGAATCCCCACCCCAAGAATCTTAAACCCCCTTTTTTGGCCTCCCATCACAAGGGGCTCCCCAGTGCCACAATGTAATATGGGGGCCCAAACAATTACCTATACTGTTTTGGGGGTTCCTTATTATTATTTTAGCATCGTGCGTCCCAAAACCCCATTTTAAATGTTAAGGCCGCTCTATTGGCGTTTAGGGCTTGGGTTTGGGGTTTAGGGTTCTTAAGCTACGTTCTTAATCTGGTGCATTGATTAAACAGCTTTGGAACCATGAAGCCAAAGAGTAGTGAAGAAGCCGAAAGCCCCACACAGGAATCGGAGCATTTTGTAACAGTGTCCGTCATCTGGTTATTCAGGTGTCTATGTTGGAGTAGCACCATTTGCCCCTACTCAACCCGAACCGCTAGAACCAAGGGCCAAATCACCACCAACAAAATGAAGACCTCATGTAGAACCCTTACAGGACCCTTATGGATCCAGTACAAATATCACCCTCCAAACCCCTAAATCCCGCGCTTTACGGTACGCGAAGAACACGAGGGGACCATGAAAAAACAACCTTCGGATGGGATTCTGAGATATTCTGAGATGCGAACGCAGTGTTCCTGGACTGTCAGGTTGTTGACCAGACGCTCATTTTTGGGTGCTCTTTATCTAGGTGTTCTCTTTGACCGGCTCGAAGTAGGCATGTCTGTGGCAAGGATGAGACTCTGCCTCCTGAACATCCAACCGCCAAGCTGACGGCCAAACACTGCCCTTCTTGGTATACGCAAGTTCGGGCTTTGGTTTCATGAGTGACAGCTCCCGCGTGAGCTGCCTGATTTGGACAGCTGTGGGATTTTTCAGTGAGATTCAAGAGGCCACATACAACCCAGCTCTGCGCAAGATGGTTCTGCGTTCTTCCAGGCATGATGTGGTCAAGCCGCTGTTTCTTGATGTCGATAAGCAGCACCTCATGGAGTCCATCATTGAACCGGTTCCGGCTTTTGGTTTTTCGCTTGCTGATTTGGCCGTTTACGAAGGCCGCCTCGAGTGGGAAATGTTTGGCCATGCTTCCGTGCAGACTTCTCATTTCAACTTCCGGGCATGGAGTCTTGTGCGGAGCCCCTCCAGAAGTTCGAGGCCGGAATTCTTGCAGCATCTGTTCGGAGATCCCTGCACATGGCAGGCAGGCCTCACAAGAATTTGTACGGTCCTGCCTTCGAAGACTGTTTGCAGACGACTCGATGAGGGCAATCGGCCCATTTTGCTGTGCAAACGGTGACCGGTGAAAGACCCGCGTTCATGGCGATGCTAGCAGAGCATGCTTCCAGTCACCGAGCTTTGATGCTGGATGCTGAGCATGAACCAACTGTTCTTTCTCTCATACGAGAGGGGAGCTCATTTGACCGGGTGCATCTTATCCTATCTTATCTTAAGGACGCATAAAGAGTCAAACGGTTTAGGGAACTGAGCTACCAAAGCAAGCTTTACGAACCCTAAATTGGCTAAACCCTACAGGCCCTAGAACCAACATTCAATATCCGGAACCAAGTACCCCCCATTCCTAGCCCAAGTCTTTAATCGTAAATGAGACCCAAGAGCATTAACTGCTTAGATCAGTTGCAACCCCGATCCCCAAGAAGACCTCCAATGTAGACGTAACACTTAAACAAATCCTAAGCGCCTACACCCTGAACCCTCTGGTCCAGAAAGAACAACATCTTGTCCCCAAGCTTTGCTACCGATCCCTGGGTGAATTAAGTCAGAAACAGGCCGACGTCCAGAAACCGAAACTGCAAACCTCCAAATCCTAGAACATGAAGTAGAGAAACACCCTCAACCATAAATCCTACACCCTAGACCCTGATTTAATCCCTCTAAACCTTAATCCCTATAACCCTTAGACCCTTCCCTTAACCCAAACTCTTATCCTGTAATCCCGATAATCCCTAACCCCGAAACAGACCGAGGCCATGCCCGACGAGCCGGCTCCCGAGCCTGCTCCCGAGCCGGACATCGCCGAGAAAGACGAAGAGGCCACCTGGGCCGATCCGCAGCGCTAAGCTGTTGAACCTGTTTTGGGGTGTGGGGTTTATATAGTCATACTTGGTAGCTGAGTTGGTTACCTTTTTACGGCTCAGGGTACCAAAGCGGCTCCTTTAAGGGATGTATTGGGCTCTATGAGGCCCAGGGGCCGAAATACTAAGTTGTTGAACCTGTGCAGGGTTCAGGGTACTACAAGGGGTTCCCTTGAAGGGATTTATAGGGGCCCTGTAAGCTGTGGTAACGTTTTTAGGGTTTAGGGAATTAGGAACTACTGCAGTTTTCATACAGTAGCTAAGGTTAAGCTATGCTCTTGCAAAAACATCTAGTAACTGAGTAGGTATCCTTCAACCTTTTGGTGTTTGTATAACCCTACCACAACTCAACAGGTTAAATTTTTTAGGCTAGGGTATTCAGCCCCGAATTCGAAGAGACCGATATGAATAATGCACTGTATAAAGATTGACTAAGGTTCTTGTTGTGGCATTAAGTACTGTGTGAGTGCAGAGTATGTAAGCATGCGTACATGTACATACAGGTATGCAATGGTGTATATGTGTATGCATATACATATACATATATATATAGATATAGATATAGATCTATGCAGAAATATGTCGTACATATATATATATATATATATATATAGATACGGTGATATAAACGAGAATATGCAGTTTAACCTACGGAACGTAATATAATATAAACCTGTATACCATGGAATAATGTCACGTAACGAAATTTATAGTACAAAAGAACATGAGTTCATGCATGATAATAAAAACCAGTATAATATAGCATATCATACTGCATTATATTATACCGAGGCGTATTTAAAGAAGATATAGTATACGAAAACATGATACGATATGATACACCAGATTGTAGTGGCTGTAATGTATCATACAATAAAAAATATGACATGTTAAACACCGTCAGAGCTTTGGGTTTCGGGTTCAGGGTCTAGCTTTTAGGATTCTATTTTTGGGATTGGGGCTGAAGGCCCTAATGGTAAAAGAAGGTTCAGGAGTTCATAAGAGTTCTACGAGGATGCTAGGTGTGTTAAGGAAGTGTTTAGCAGCACCAAGACGCCAATCCCAACAACCAGATCTCGAGGGGTCCAGTGCTGACCGAGGCCTCCGAAGCCCTAAATCCACTGAAACCCGCAACCTTCGTCTAACGTCCTTTTATGGTACCGAAAGCCGCGAGCCCCGAAAACCCGTGAAGGGGCCTTTCAGTCCGGCTATTCCCGGAGCATGCCGTTCTCATTGTTTCTATCGCGGCAGCAACACACGGACACCCCTGCGCGCAGAGGATCAAAGAACCCTATTTCGTGTGTGTGTGTGTGTATATGTAGACACAACGAAGTAATTAAGATATAACATAACATACGATACAATCCAACACCGTGTAATACAGCATGATAGACTTTGCTGTAGCATGATATACGGTTATGCCATGCCCAAAAACTCAATATCATACAGTGTAATATGATATAACATGATGTAGCAGCGCATAACATAGCAAACCAAAGAATCATACACAATATGTATATATATATATATATATACATACATATTTATATACGTTGTAGCACCTTATACAATATACGAAAGCACAACATTACATCATTATATATGCTGTATTGTTACTGTGGTATACAGTCTGGTACCAGATAGTATAATATTGTGACATATTTCTTCACACCATAAGAACAATTATGTAATATAGTTCAACATGACGTAATATCCTTCAATTGACTATATTTTTATTAAGTAAAGCATCTGTAAGATGTAAGGTCCTATATATATATATGATAGAATAAGTTGCTCCTATATGATAGAATAAGTTGCGTTGTATATCGTACAAGATGGTATACCCTTATATGATCTGACATTATGTCACATCGTATAATACTTTAAGTTTAGAACGTATGTGCAGCTTTGCATACATATATATATATATACAGACGTAGATGTAGATACATATATGTGTGTACATTTATGTGTGCATCGTTATATGTACATATATGTATAAACACACACATGCCTAGCATTACATGCTTATATGATTCGATACAGCACACTTGAATACGATATACCATAATATATCTTGCTATTTCACCGTATAGTACAGTATGATATGAGCCAACATCATACCATATAAGATTTGGAAAAAGTACATTTTCCTTTTACCTGTAGTTTTCTATATTGTAGTATAGTATAATGTAACACAACACAATGTAACATAACATATTAAACCGTAGTACAGCAGAATGCGATACGAGATGATAACCTTTACTTGAGTATATTATATGATAAGACGACACGATATGATCTAGTATCATGTGGTAGAGTATGACATTGAATACTCATGCCCTTAAGCCCGCAAGGGGTGGAGTGCCAGGTGGGGTGTGGACATGCAGTTCCCTCTAACTCCTAACCCCTAAACCCCCAAACCCTAAAACCCCAAAACCCAAAACCCTCAAACCCCGAGCCAAGGAGGAGGGACCTTGGCGAGGCGCCGGAGGTGCCCAGGTCTACGTCCATGTGCTACTTGGTGGCTTCGGGGCTCTTGGGGGTTTAGGGATTGAAATTTAGGGTTCAGGGATTTGGATTTAGGGTTTCGGGTTTGGGGGTTAGGGTTCAGGGGTTGGGGGTTGAGGGTTTAGGGTTCATTGGATCTTTTGGCGGGAGTTAAGGTTGTGTTTGGTGGTTTGGGTTTGAGGAGCCTGGAAACCCAGCAGGCAGGCCGGAGAAGCATGTTGGTCGTGTCGCTGCTTGCAACACAATGCCACGTGAGTTTCACGAACTACATGAAGTCACACGTGGTTTGGGAAGTTACTGTTCTGCACAAAACGACCCGAGATTGCACGAACTACGTGAGACTTCACACGTGCTCAGGTTTGTTTAAGGTGATTTCAATACGTGAATGCACGATTGCTTGTTCGAGAGTGCAATATTTTATTTACAGCAAAGGCTGCGAAACCTGACAGACAAGTTCGGGAAAGATTTTGGTTGAGACGCTGATTACGATGACACACTACGATGTGACATGTTACATATGTTACGTATACGTGGCTTCACGCATGAAGTCGCACTTCAGACGCTTGTTTGTACCGCGTGAAAAATGTTTCTATCTGCGGAGCTCGGAAAAATTGCGGGACTTTCGCTCGGAGAAAAGCTCAACCCAAAGTGGGCAAGTTCCGCAAGACAAATCATCATCAAAACAAGACAAGTATATATGTGTATATATATATATATATATATATAGATGTACACATATACATGCCTGCGCAGGTGCCACCGTACCATCATCATCCTCGAAGGTGACAACAACCACATCATCATCATCACATCATCATCATTATCATCATTAACATTAGCGCCGCCGTGTTCATCAACATCATCGTCCTCATCAACGTCACCATCTTCATCAACAGCGACCCCAACATAGATACGTTAAGAAATACATTGTAAAAACGAGTTCGTACGTTACGGCTTGGTCTTGCCAAGAGTACGCCTGCCGCCTGATGTTCGTAATGACATTGCAGTAAGGCCACGTAATGGAAATCACAAGGTAGCACGACACGAGCATAATGTCCTTCCGTCGTGATTCAAGTCATGCGTCATCGTCATAGTCTGGCTAAAGAGTCTGCTTCTGAATCCTGGGGCCCTTGGACTCCAAATTTGACATAACTTACTTCGACACATTGGGCTCAGGGTGTTCCGAGTTTCTGCCTGTGTAGGCTCGCTTTGTCCGCGGCCAAGGTCGGTGTAAATCAAGAACACCATTGACGTTTCGCGCAGCTGTTGCAGGAGGCAACGGAGAAGCAGACTTCCATGTTGTTGGCCAGCATGACAACCGATTAAGTTCATCAGGATTATAGGGACGACAAGCAGTAGCACAAGTCCCTGCGCAATGTTTGTGGTTGTTGGCTGTTGCGGTGGTGGTATTTTTACGTTGCCTCATCGTTGCCAGTATAGTAGTAGTAGTAGTAGTAGTAGTAGTAGTAGTAGTAGTAGTAGTAGTAGTAGTAGTAGTAGTAGTAGCAACTAACAGTAGTGATTGTTGTCGGCGTCTTCGTCGTCGCTTCATGCTGTAACAGAATCAATGATAGAAGTAGCAGTAGTCGACGCATCGGCACTGCAGTGATAGTAGCGGTAGATGCAGTAGCAGTAGCAGTAGAAGTAGAAGCAGCAGTAGCAGTAGCAGTCGTAGTAGTAGTAGTGGCAGCAGGAGTAGTAGGAGTAGTAGTAGTAGTCGTCGTCGTCGTTGTTGTGGTTGTTGTTGTTGTTAGTAGTAGTAGTAGTAGTAGTAGTAGTAGTAGTAGTAGTAGTAGTAGTAGTAGTAGTAGTAGTAGTAGTAGTAGTATTAGTAGCAGTAGTAGTAGTAGTAGTAGTAGTAGTAGTAGTAGTCGTAGGAATAGCAGCAGTAGCAGCAGTAGCAGCAGCAGCAGTAGCAGCAGCAGCAGTAGCAGCAGCGTAGCAGCAGCAGCAGCAGCAGAAGCAGCAGTAGCAGCAGTAGCAGCAGTAGCAGCAGTAGCAGCAGTAGCAGCAGCCGTAGCCGTAGCTTTAGCTGTAGCAGTAGCAGTCGTCGTCGTCGTAGCAGTGCTAGTGCTAGTACTCGCGGCAGCAGCAGCGGTGTTGGTGGTGTTGGTGGCAGCAGCAGCAGCAGCAGCAGCAGCAGTAGTGGTAGCGCTAGTGGTAGTGGTTGAGGTAGAGGAGGTGGTAGTGGTAATAGTAGTGGTAGTAACAGCGGCAGAGGCAATGGTAGTGGTAGGGGTGTAAGCAATAGCAGAATTAATAACAGTAGTAGGAGTCGTCGTCGTGGTACTAGCAGTAGTCTTGGTGGCGGTGACAGTGTTTTTCTCCTCTGTGCCACATTCGCTTAGGACTGGCAGGCTGCTTGAGCCTGTAGCTATCAGGAAGACTAGGCCGAAGCTTTGGGGCTGATGTTGATACCCTGCTGAACGACTCCCTTCTCCGATTTTGGAATTCAAACAGTGGAGTTTGGGGTT